TGGTAACTTGTACCACTTGTACTATCCTTTGATTTTTTTTCTGCACGGCCACGATTACCACTTAGCGTTCCCGTTCCTAGGTTCCTCGGCTCCTTTCCCGGGAGCTGCTGCTGCCGGCCACTGCGTGTTGCGTGTGTTACATGGTTGGGGGTGCGTGACCCCATACCTGTTGTACCCTACCCATATGAGCCGAAGGCCCGAGGGCAATAACTATATGCCTAAAAGCCACGGAGAACAGGAATCACCGCACATCAGCCCAGACTAGCGTCCAAAGTGTGAGCTGGTCCCGGGAAATGAGCGAAGGAAGGACAAACACCGGTTTTTGCGATTGGGGAGCAGGCATGCACGAAGACACGCCGGCGGCTGGACAGGGTGCGCAATCCTGCAGTCCTTTCCTTCCCCCCTCCGAGCTGCCCAGCGGCTGTCGACTGCTGCATCAACCTCGAGGTGCTTCTTGGGTGGACTATCGCATGGTCCAGCGCCATAGTAGCCACAATGTTACATGATCTGTGTGTCACACACACACATATGTAACACACACACACATGATCTAAGCGATACGTATTGGGAGAACCAGGCTCAGCAATTGGTTAATCCCGAAACAAATCATACAGCTCGAAATCATAATACCATAGGATAGAGAATCGAAATACTCAAGAGGGAAAAAACAGCAGTTTGGAGTTTGGCTTTGCGCTGAAGCCGCTGGCGCTTGGGGGATAAACATCACAGACAGCACCGGAAAGTGCTGAGGGCTTTGGGGAGGTGTGTCGTGCTAGGCTTTGAGGGGGGCGCCAAGGGCGTGTGAGCAGGCGCCCGAATGGGCAGGTCAATGCCTGAAGGGGCGCCGCAGGCAGTGTGTATGGTGCTGTACGGCACTGTTTTCCGTGTGTGTTATGGCTGCGGCACCAGACCGCAAAGCCAGCAGGCTGAAGGCTGGCAAGCTGCGATTGCGTCTGCTGAGTGTTGAGCATCCGGCCTGGACCGCGAACTTGGCAGCCGAGCCCCTGCTGTGTGCCGGTAACGGCAGCTCACACTCATACGTTTTTTGGAGCGGAATACCGTAAGAAGTCATGGGGGTAAAGGAGCGTGTTGACTGGTTGTTGAGTAGACCTTTCCCCGAAGGAGCGGTGATAACGGCACTAAGAGAGCGTTTGATGAGCGGCTGGGACCATGCGCGTCTGACTGTCTTGCCAGAGGAGTACCCATCAGATGGGAAGCAACCGGGAGTGCAAATGGCGAAGTAGAAGCACTGGATGGGGCTGCCCTTTTCGGGAGCCGCAGCCGTCATGTGGCCAACACATGCTAAGGTTTTCATTCCCCGTTTAGTACATCGTAAGCTAATGCAGTTTCGTTTATGTTGCTAGGCTTTGGAGGCAAACAGAGCACGAAGGGGCAAGTACCATGTCCCCAGGGAGCAGCGGTTTTGCCGCAGTTGTGGTACTAATAGCCGAATCGAGGATGAAAAACACGTGTTATTGGAATGCCCAGCCTATAATGATATTCGTGCTGAAGAGGGATTCGATCATCAACAGAGCATGTTGGAGGCCATGAAATGGGAACCAGCATGTCTGGCGAGGATGTTGGAACGTATGTGGGCTCACCGAAACTCAGTTATCCCCTTTGGAAGCTAGTCTGGGCTGATGTGAGGTGATTCCTGTTCTCCGTGGCTTTTAGGCGTATAGATATTGCCCTCGGGCCTTCGGCTCGTATGGGTAGTTTTACAGGTATGGGGTCATGCACACCCAACCATGTAACATACACACATACGTTTACGCCCAAGCAAGGGGCTGTCGGTGGCAGGTCGCGGACCTCCCGACTACGTGTAACGACCAATGACTCTTAGCCGTATCTGCTAGGTTCCAGAGACACCGTCTCTTCAACAGGTTATGAGCCCCGGCTTCCTGCCTCCCGCACTCTGACAAGCATACCTCCCACAGCATCAGCACTGCTGCAACAAACACAAGCTCCCACCATGTTGACACTACCCATCAATTGTCACACGTGCCACCCTAGCTACCGGCCTGTACGGATGCAGGGGGCCCCCGCCCTTTTTCCGACTTCGAGGAAGCCGACACAGTTTGTCTAGAACAGAAATCCGCGCCGGCTGGCTCACCTCACCTCATCCTCTGGGATACGCATTTGAAAGGTTTGGAAGACGCAGAACCTGCTTCAAATGCTTCAATCTGCCAACCTTGGGGTTGACCTCTGCTCCCTTGTGCGACACCACCAGCTCGCGGGAGATCTAGGAGATCTGTGCTTACCAGGGCCAGGTGTTATTCTTTCCAAAGCCGAATGTCCGATGATGTAGATGTAGTGATAACCGGGCTGTCATGCAACGCAACCCTTAGCCACACAGGTATCGGGGTATATGGGGGAGAAAGGGCTTTTCCTGCCTGCCAGATTCATTCCTGCCTGCCAGATTTTTGTTCCTTGCGCACTTCGATAACACTTGTCGCGGCACTTTCATGCCCAACCAGCAAACCATGCGCCTGAGCCGGACATAGATGACAGTGCAGCTCATATTTCTTCAAAGTGACCGATCGGGCCATCCGTAGCCCCCCCTAGCGTTGTGTCCAGTCTTCGGTTCCTGGTCGCGCGTGGTTGTGGATGGCCGGAGAGAGTGCTTGGGAAACATGTCAAGCATCAAGCTCCAAGAACCTCTTACCGTTAGCCGCTGGCCGCCTTCTAGGCTTTCCAGGTTTGGGAACCTTAGAACCACATTCTTGGGACACAGTGGAACGCGTGAGGACTTTCTGGAACTGAGGACCGTGAAGACATCAGCAGCGCAAAGATGCATTATGAAGTAAAATACCTAACACAAGCTTGAGCGTGAACACGGTGGACACTGCCCGACAGACCTAAAGCACTGTGCATGCCGCCCGGACTGCTGCGACAATTCGAATTCGTTCAAGGTTTCTCATAAATACCTTTTGGAGCGTTCGGTGGTCTCTTCGTGCTCCACTGTGGAGCTGCGGTTGTCACGACATTTCAGTGTCACGTTCATTTTGCCGTCTTTTCTTCTCGCCTCCTTTCTCTTCCTTAACCCGGTTACCTTCGGTGCCAATCCATCGCAGGTGGACGCAGCAAATGTTCTGCGCGGCAAATACTCCGATATGTAGATCTAGGTACTCCCGCTGTGGGCATCAACAGATGAAGCTGACGAGCGCGGGATTCCTGTCGTCATTACATTGCCCGCCCACTTATAGCGTCTGGGTCTATGAAAATAGTAAAAGCTGGCGAAAAGCCCGGCTCGGCCAGTTCACAAGCATCCTAGGTGCCCGGAACGCGTCAACAGCGAACGCATGGATAAACGTTCTGGGTTACCCTCCGCGTCTTTGCGACTACCACCTTTCCCTCCCCCCTTCCGATGGGTTTTGCTGTGGATTTGCGACATGCACCTTTTTACGTAAAGGCCCCCCGCAGATCCCCTGGTCAGTCGCTCCTTCGCTCAGTAACCACTTTCGTCTGAGTCTCGCAATCGCACGAGGCGGAGTGCATGAGAAAACACACGACGCCCGTGAAGGTCCCAGGACTTCACAATTAGCCTCGGTTTGCTCACGAAGTCTACGAATAGAAGACTGATGACAGATAGGCAAATCACCTAAACTCAGAACGAAACACTACGCCACCGTCACCGTACCGTCGCCCGCTTCATCGGCCCCCTGGCGCATCCCTAAGCCGGATTCGAACTCAGTCAAATACGTTATACGAACTGAAGTACGGTAGTGGGCAATGATCGCTGTTAGCAGCCGTCCCTGCTAGCAGGCAGGTGATTACCCGTTTGTTGCTAAGGATCACGACGACTCATCCACCAAGAGCTCAAATTATAACTCCGAGTTTTACTGCTTGCAATGAGCAGAAGGCAATATAGGAAGCTTTCGTTTAGTAAAAGTAGGCAAAACATTCTTTGTTTGAAAAGTCCTTCCCGCGCGTGCGGGCGGATTCTGGGAGTTTCTGGGAACTTCGTAGGTGCCTGTAGCTGTGGACAAGAGAACTTAAGAGCGCAAATCAAGCAGATGTTCGTATAGGGAGGCAAGGGATGTTAACAGGCAGCTTTGAACGCTCCAACAAAATGCCAAGAATGCAAAATTTCAATGGTGGGCTGCGGTGAGCTCGTTCGGCAGAGGTGGGCGACTGACGGACGTAGCGTTACATAAACTGTGTAGATCAACGTCTGCATTCCAGATTTAGACCTTTTCTGCCGTTTTTCATGACGACATGAAAGGGTTAAATATGTGGAATAGTGAGTTAAAGTTGTTTCGTATAAATTGATCACCGTAATGCTAGTTAAGGTGAAAATTATACTTAGGTGAGGGCTCGGCGCAGGGGGCTTACGCGTTACAGTGATATCACGACGTCTAGATTGCCTACTTTTGGGTGACAGTTTAAGGATGGGACTGAAATGGTGGGCTTCGGGTTCGCGTCTCACAACGTCATTATAGTACCGGTACTGGGCCCAAGCATTCCAAGTTGCATCTTCTGTGACTTGCAGGAATCTAAACAGTATACATCCCTAAATCATTGTATTGGATCTTCCTGCCGAAAACGTGAACACGAAGTTTTGTCTTTTGTAGATTGCAGTACAAACTCTCTGCACCTCACTGCACTTGTAGTCACGCACGGAATACAAATCACAAAATCTCATCCCGAAACTGAGATTTAGATATGATACTCGTTAATCGCTCCAAATCACTGCTGGTTCACGAGGCAAAGGCACGCTGACCCGATTGGATACACCTGCAAAACCGAACGTTCCATTACGTTTGCTGCTACAGCCGCTACCATCCGGCCGACGCATCCAGCATGGCCCCCACATACTCATTCATCCAATCCGCCACCACATGAAGAGAACAGAAAGGAGCGGAGAATGCATGAATCCGCGCCCTGTGTATGTGATTCCCTGGTAGCATTTGAACTAATCACATATCGGCGCAAGCCACTGCGCCATTGTCGGAAGCCCTTCTGAGGCCCAACATTGCTAAGTTGTGAAATATGCCTGCCTAATATGGTTTCTTGAACACGCGCCGCCAGCTGCGTGAATGGGGACGTGGTGCAGGAGCCGATCCCCCAGGGCCTCGGGAAGTAACCAGCGGTTCGCATATGTCGAAGAGGCTGACTGAGCGGGACCGAGGCCCGTCACCAGGAGCTGACACTACGGCATCAGGGCCCGCAGCGCCAGCAGATCCATTGGAGTCCGCCGCCACCGTCGTTGTCGCGGTCGCTGTGGCCGATGAGTTGTTCTCCTTGCGGCTGCTGTCGATGCAGCTGCCGCCATCGGCGCCCGCAGTCTGCGGGCCGGCACCGGCGCTGCTGATGCCGCCTGCACCTCCAGTCCCATTGCCGATGTTGACGTCACATTGAGATGGTGACCTTTCCTTCAACACGCTGAGACACAAGGGCGGCGAAGGCAGCACCGTTGTTGTCGGGACCAGCTCCTGTACAAGCGCACCTTTGCCCACGCGGCCGTTATGCCCGCCGCCACCCAGGCTGCGGTCAGCAGCGGTATTGGGCAAACCGTGTCCGCTCATCGTCCCGCGGCAATCCATCAAATCATCACGGACACCTGTGCGGCCCGTGTTGCTCGGGGTGTCACCGGCAGCTGCCCCCAAAGTGTTACCTTCTCCACTTGCAGCAGCGCATGCGCATGAACGTTTAGATAGCGGTAGTGGCTGCGGCGACCGGGGCTGGGGCTGCGGCGGCTGGGGGGGAAAGTGGCGTTGTAGCACAGCTGTTGCCAGGGCCGCCACCTGCCGCATGCTGGGTCGCGCGTGGTCTTCCACGAGAACGGCACGCAGCAAACCAAGCACGCCGTCACACAGACTCGGACCTGCGGGCGTCGAAACCGGGAGCTCCAGTTTTCCTTATGCCGACGAAATCGCACCAGCCAGCCATTAGTTTCGGCCAACTCTAGGCGGGGATAATACCAGGGGTTCAGTCTCCCTATTACGGAAGATAGCCACGCTGTGTACTCCGGGTTTCGTCTGGGTCATGGATAGGTTCTCTTTCCCAGCCTTGGTTTGCAGCGAGGAAAGTACTTGCCAACTTCATTCCCCAGCACGCAGCGACATGACCAGGCCACTTATAAACCCTTCCTCCCACTGGAACTCCAGGTAAAAAAGGCACAGGTTCAGGTTTACGGGGTTCCACAGACCAGTACACCTCTCTCCAAGACAGAGCGACACAACATCTTTACCGTCAGCGCCGGAAAGCGGTCGCGGTTCGTACACGTTGCGCAGCTCGGCTGCCACGGCCGCCACACCGTCATCACCGCCACCGCGGCCGGCACCGGTGGCACGGGATGAGCTGCCGCCGCCGTGGTAATGCACCAGCAGGAAGGATGGCGGCTCGTCGCACATGATGCGCAGGCGGTCCGCTTCCTCCGTAGTCAGCCAGTCGGGGCCCGCTGGGTCAGCACATTGCGTCGCGATGGAGTGGCGGAGACGCCGGTGCGGCGGCAGCAGTGACGGCGGCGGCGATGGCTGTGGCGGTAGCAGCGGCGCCACGTCGTCTCGCTGGCTGTCCGCACCGCCGGTGCTGTAATGCCCACCCACGCTGCGGTATGAGGAAGGTTCGCCACCAGGACAGGATCGGGTGGCGCCCCCATAGCTCCCGCCGGCGCCCGCTGTGATTACGGCAGTGTTGACGCCGCCGACGGGGTTTGTGGTTGAATTGACAGCGAGGGTCCACTCGCTGTCCGCTACGCTCCGCGCGGTTCCCGTGGAGGGTGGCGGGGCTGGCGGCCAGTAGCCCACCGCGCCAGCTGCAGCGGTGCTGGAGCTCGCAACGCTGCGGGCAGTATCGTACCCGTATGGCATCTGGCTCCGCGCGGTGCTCCGAGCAGTGGTCGGGGCTGTGTTGACAATGGATGGAACGACCCACGGGTCGGTAGTCAATGAAGACGCGTCCTCGGTGCCGCAGCCTTCGGCGATCAGCTCCAGGCTGCGACCGGTAACCCTGGCCGAGCTTAAGCCCCCTGTCCCCATGAGGAAGGTCATGGGCAAGGTCAACGGCGGTAGCGGCGGCAAGGAGCCCCCGGCCCCCGGTGTCAGCGGGTATTGCCACGGAGAGCTGGACATCCCTGGTCCGCGGGTCAGCGCCAACGGCAGCCTTGGAACAAACGGTGGCGGCGGCGACGGTGGCTGGACTACTGCCGTGGCCGCCACGGCGTCGCTGGCAGGCTCCAGGGTCTCGGCCACTCGCCATGGCTCTATCCCAGAGCCCTGCTCCGACACCGGGCGGCTTGGCGTCTGTGCGGCCAACTGCGCGGGGTAAACGTCCAGCGGCGGTGGTGCCGTTGTCGTCGTCGTCGGTGGCGACGGTGCCACCGTCGTTGCCGCCGGAGGCGCGCTGCGGTGCTGCAAGGATGGCGGCTCCTGCTGCTGCCGCGGTAGCTGTGGTGTCCTGGTCTGCACCCTGGTCTGGCTTGGAGTGCCGCCGCTACCGTCACGGCCGTTGCGGGCACCGCGGCGGCGGCCATGTTGGTGCGCTGCTGTAGACTGTTGCCGTAACCTGGCGGCAGCCGCGCCCGCTGCCACCGCCCGCATGCAGTCATTATTACCACGGAACAGTAGCTCGCCAGTAACCATCTCGTACAGCATGCAGCCCATGGCCCATACATCGGCCTTGCGTGCATCAACGCAGTGGCCATGGACCATCTCTGGCGGCTGGTACGGCACCGTGCCCCTGCCGGAATCCAGTGGACCATTGTGCATACCGCATAAAAAGCAACGAATCGTTAAGCACGCTTATGCGTGTGCAGTAAGGACGGAGGATTAGTGCCATGTTGTATTCCTAGCCTTAAAATCCTTAAGGCCAAAACCTTGGCTCTGGAAAAAACACTGACATTCAGGCTGTAATACAAGCATTAACACAAACCTTCCTGGAAAGACCCCAGTGGCCCGGAAAGACAGTAGGCCCCAAAAAGCCTTCTAGAACATAGCTGTGGCCTTCGGCGCTAAAGCGTGGAAGGGCCCACAGCAACTGGACTGGCGCAGCTCGCACCTGCGGCGACCTTTCCCAAACACCCGCCCGCACCTGGCCTGGTCCTGCAGGAGCGGCGTCTCGTGGAAGAGCATGCTCTCTGAGAAATCTGCCAGCCGCAGCCGCCCGCCGGACAGCAACACATTGCCTACGGAATAACCGGTAACAACGCATGCCACACACAGCACATGGACTTGTGTTGTTGCAAATATAGACCACACGGAGAGAAACCGCACGGAAAGGGAAACAAACAGAAGTTTGCCCGCGGTATCCTCATTTAGCAGCTATTCATTTGTACACACGAGGTGCTAATCCCTGCGGTACGTTTACTCGTGTGCCAGTTCCTCGCCAGCTTCTGGCGGCGCGGCTAAAAGCACTAAGACACAAGGTGCGTACCCGGCTTAAGGTCGCAGTGGGCCACATGCCAGCGCTCATGCAGTTCCGTGAGCAACTCCGCCAGACTGACCCAGAGCCTGCAGAAGAGACAGGGATAACAAGAAAACGCATCAGCAAGCGAACGTGCAGGGAAGCAGAACAGGGAACGGGATCGGGAAGCCGAAGGGCAATCCAACAACTAGGATAAGGGTGGACTCGATTATGATGCAGGATGGGAATGCGCGAGGGCCCATATTAAAGGAGAGTATGTACGTGGTGGGTCAGGGCGATATGATGCGGGCGCACCTAAGCACCTCCCGGATGTAGTCCGAGCCGGTGGCCGTCTCAAAGCGCTGACCGTCGCACCAGTCCTTAAGGCTGTGGTCACAGCTCTCTAGCATCAGCATCACCTACAATGAAGGCCAATAGGAAGGGAGGAGAGGTGCACAATACCAGAGCGATTGCGAAACATAGGGAAGCGCAAATGGAAGCGGGACTGGGTACGGTGATCGTAACGATAAGGAGATGAAGGCGGGGCTGGCTATGAAGGATGTGATGACCATGGAGATATTGGGGAGGGGAACGACAGATTGCAAGGGGCGCGCGGGATGTGTATCTTGGCACAGAACCACAGAACACAGCGGAGATAATTTGGGGACAGGCTAGGAAAGGATTGAAAAGGCGGTTTGGGGCCACAGCCACTCATGGCGACAAGAAACAGCAAGACAGCAAGACAGGGACAGACGCACCTTGTCCTCATGGCGGCCGTAGTCCAGCAGCCGCACCGCTCCCGCCCAGCTGGCCAGGTGCAACAGCACGCCAATTTCCGCGAAAGCGTTGGCCAGCTTATCCTTCTCGGCCACGTCGTAAATCTGAAAAAGGATCCATTCATTAGGAGCGCGTGGCCATGGCCGTGTAATGAGCCGCGACGAAAGTGGTAGAATTCAGGAAAGGCCCCAAGGGCCGTCTAGAAGGCCCCTCAGGAAGGCAAGAAAGCCACACACCGGCTCGTGAAAGCCAGTTTGGTAACCGCATCCCTTAAGCCACTTCATGCGAGGGCCGTATCCCCAAACCAACGCTACGGCACTCATCAGCTTGAAATCCGCCTACTTTGACGACCACTGGCTGTCCCTGATGGCAGGCCTTGGACACGGTCGAGTAGGAGGTGCACGTGATGCGCTCCACGTGGGTGAGCGACTGCACAGCAGTACGGCATACGAACTCAGGAAGAAGAGAAGACAGTTGTGAAAGGTACAATGGAACCAGTGCCTGTCCTCCTCTCTCCCCAGGGCACAAACTGGCTAACAGGACCCAGGCCTTAAGCCTCAGCTGCGCTCCTGCCAATCGGCCACCCACCACACCTCAGCATTCAGTCACCTCTCCCCATTCTCCGAGATTCAGTTTATTAGGGCTTGCAGCTGTCATGCGGGTCTGGACAGGACCCACTTCCCATCAGCATGTAAGGGCGCGTCAACAACAGCAACAGGAGAGCAAACCCCTAATCCCAGCTTTAGGGCGTGCCTCATCACCAACCAGTGCAGAACCCCCCAAAGCACTCCTCACCTCCAAAAGGCTGTACTGGCGGCCTTTGGGCCCGTCGCTTAGTCGCTCCCAGGCGTCCCACAGCTGCTCTGGAAGCATCAGACCCCGACTGGAGCGGTCGGGGTCGTCAGCGTCGCCGTTACCTCGACGATTCCTGCCGCGGCTGCGGCAGCCACGCACCTGGCGTGCATGGTGCGTCCTGCGGGCTGTGACGTCGCCACCACAGCCGCTGCGGCCGGGGATGCCTGACGGCCGCTGCGCCGCGGAGGCGTAGCGACCGCCTGTCAGTTCGTGCTCCCCTAAGCCTGATATGTCGTCCAGCTCGCCGCGCTGCGTACGCTCTTTCTCATCGTCCAGCTCGTCTGAGTCGTACACATCGCTGTCATCGTCATCCTCAAGGTCGTCCTCGGATTCGGCCCAGAAGACTGCAGCGCAATGGGGAGAGGGAACCCAATCAGCCTCAGCAGGCCCCCTTCCTGCTCAAGCCCAGGCCGCCTGCCGTGAAGTCCTCACCGCCGCCCCTCGCTCGCCAACACCGCGGGACCCTCGCTTGCATAGATCCAATCCGCCCGGCAACCCGCTCCCACCTTCGCAACTACAGCAAATCATCCGGAGCTACGCCGCTTTCCCCCGGCTACTTATCACCACCCAATGCCCAATCCGCGCTCTGGTCAAGGCTCCTGTTCGCCCCTGTTACCCTCCCCCTGTCGCATCGCTTTGCCATCGCCAATAGCAGCGCAAAGCTCACCCAGACTTCCAACGTGCACAAGGACGTTTCAAGGCCCGTCTTCTGGAGCTTTCACCTTGCTCCTGACAACGGCATCGTCACGTGCGCTTCAGACCATGACGAAGTTGACATACCATGCCGCTGTATTGCGAGTGTGATGATATGCTTTAACCTGAGACACACCCACCTGTACACAACGCGTGTGACGTGATGCCCTTGTTAGCTCCTGCTGCTATGAGCCGCGTCGTCAGTGGGCCTTCGCCATATACCAACGCCGATGGCAGACAGACAGACAGACGTAGCGCCCGGGCAACGGTTGCCATGGAACGATGCTGCAGCTGGTGATGACGTTGGGTTCCTGTCAGCGATAACCGCAACGGACCGACCGAATTGGTTGACCAGGCCCGGCGGCGTGCGCTGGATCGTGCACCATTGGCACTGGCACTAGCGCCGGAAGGCGGCGGGACCGTTTGGCAAGGACCAGGCAGACGCAGCGGCGGCACCGGGGTGACCCAAGGAAGCTGCGATGGAGAAGGCTGTGATAGGCCCCGACTGCGTACAGCGGAAGCTGGTGTCGCCATCGATGGCTCATGCAGTGGGCTACGACCGGTGCGGGTGCAGTGGACCGTGGCGACCACATCCCCGGCGGCCAAGCGCGCCGCCGTTGCGGCTTTGCTGGGTGTGTCCTTGCGCAAGTCGCTGTCGATCGCCGAGCAGCATCCGCTGCCAACCAGCGCGTCCACTACTACTGAGTCGTTGCCGGCGGGTTGTTCCTGTTGCAGCACCAACTGCCGCTTCGATTGCGCTGTCCTGTGCGGTGAGGCGTCCTGGTCGTGCTGGTCTTGTAGATGGTGTCGCCGGCTGCGCATCGTAGGCGTCGCGCGCTGCTGCTTTTCAAAGGCGCTGCCATGCGGCGTCAGGGTTGGTTGATCCCGGTACAGATCTGGTGTTGTGGCGTCGGTAGTGGAGGGGGGTGTCTTCACTGGCTGAACCCGCCGCGGCCCTGAACCATGCACCACGAGCAAGTTGGGCAGAGAGCAGTGCGGGTGTGTTTTGGAAGGGAAGAAAGCAGGCAACGGACAAGGGCAGCATTGCAAGGAGGCGGCACGGCCTGCCTGCCGGTGCACACCATCATACCGATGTGGCCAACATGTCGATTAGCCGCAGATGCGTTCCACAGCTTCCCTGGCTGCCCACCTCTCACTGTTTTTCCCTGTGGCCGACCTCCCCAATGATGACCGCACAGATCATCTTGTTGCGCTCGGAGTAGCTCTTGGGAGACACCGAAAGCCCACTATCCACACCGGAACAGACTTCCCGAATCCCTTTTGCCAAGCCCAGCTCACTGACGGGCAAGATCAATAATTGCATGCTTCCGCGGCTTCCAATGCATATCGCATACCCTACGGCACAAGTTCATCTACACATCCAAAAACTCTGCCTGCGCCAGGCCTCTTCACTGCAAGATTACTCCACACCTGACTGGATCTGGTCCGAGTCGTCCAATGATACCCTGGGAAAGCCCATCTGCCCCATGTTGAGCGATTCCACCACCGAGCAATCCATGCTAACTTCGACCCTTTGCTCTGAGCCCTGCTCCTCGAGCAGCGGCCTTGGCGGTGCGCGGAGCGCGCTCCAACCACGACCCGGCCCGAGACTGATGGATGCCCGTGGCTTGCAAGCACTTGGAAGCAGCATCCGAAGAATCTCGGTCGGAGAGTTAGTGTCGGGCGTCCTCTGGCCGCTTCCGCCGGGGCAAGGTGCAGGAATTTGCGGCGTTGGACTGACCGTAGTGCTTGCGACTGGGGAACTGTTGCCGTTGCCCTGCGAAGCGTGCAGGGTACGGGGCCCACCCTGGTCTACTGCTTCCCATTCGATACAAGCTGCCCTTGCGACACGAATGCGAGCTATGATGGAAGCGGGGCGGGTTACCAAAATCACTGCGTGGAGTTAAGGAGCGCCGATTGTCGTGTGTGTGTTTATGATGGAAACGAAGCAGGCTGCGTGTGCTTGCTTGAGGACGGAATATGACAGTGGCATTACGCTAACTCCATGCACAGCACGGCAACCGCGAAAGGCTATGTGTTTCGGCCACTGAGCGATGTTCCCGCCCGTGAGCATTGCTAGGTATCCCTGGCCGACGCATTTGATGCTTGGCATTTCATTGTGAGCGATATTCCCTTCTTAAATCAGTGCTTAGCACTAAGTGAGCAGGACCACCAGCAACAAGAGATGATAAAGCCTGCACACGCTTGGCATGTGCTTGGCACCTACCGACCTGTGGCGTCTGAGTTGTTGTCGTCTTCTTCTTCTGCAGATTCCGCAGGTTGAGGCCCGGCACAGGTCGGCGTGACGCCTGCTCCTGCTGAAGATCGAAAGGATCTGCTGCCGCCACGCCCACACTACCAGACGCAGCGAGGCACGTGTTCCCACCCAGCGGCAGATGAAGTTCTTCGGGTGCTGGTGAAGTCCGGCCAGCGGCCTGCACTCTAAAACCGGGGTGCCGCCCTACCGGCGTACAACTTTCTGGCGAAGCAGAAGTAGAGAAACGGCTCGGGCTCTGACGTGGCAGTATACCAGGACTGTGTCGTCGACCCACCGGGTCGTGGGACAGAGACATCAAGTGGGTTCCAGAAAGTTGCAGTGCTCGCAGCTGACTGAAGAAGGATGCATCTCCGCGCGGGGCCGGGCATGGGGAGGCACCGAGGTCGTGACGGATTACGCTTAAGGGTGTCGGCAGCTGGGAACCGTATGGAGTGCCCCCAGCGGGCGATTCAGAAACATCTTCGGTGCCAAGGGTCACATCCGCGCGGCTCGCAAGCTCCAGAGCGAGTTGCCTGATGCTCGGCAGCTGGCCATGCACAAGGCGAAAGTCAGCAATGGCGGATCTCAGCTCCTCGTGCTCCAACTCCCGACCAAGCTTATCCTCCAGCAGGGAAATGGCCGCGAAGTCACGGTTCATGTCGCTGCCGTAGTTGACAAGAAGTGTAGTGCTGCAGATGCTTGAAGAACTGCATGGGCTAGACGTGTTGCTTGGCCCGCGAGGAGCATCCTGCCCGGCCCGGACTTCACGGCTTGGCGACCATTTATCCTGCGACAGGGGAACAATAAATGTAGTCGGCACAATAGAACATATGCCGACCTTGCGTATCCAAGGCAATACCGCCTTGCATACGAGCTGGGACATGCAAGCGATGGTCTTTTTTTCCAGAAACCATGAGATTTAAACCTGATGAGCCTATCTGTCATCGTGGCCATATCTGCTATCGTGTAAATAACTTGATGTATGCACAGCACACGTATTGACCTGCCCAACCAAGCGGAGCGCCAGGGGGTTGCCTGGTGAGTCCATACAATATGCTCTCAGGAGGCTTGGTAAGTCAATTCTTTGAGTCAAACAGCATCCATATTCTTCACATGGATCAAGTGAATGTTAATCAGCGGCTTGAAGACGATGATCGCCTAGCACAGCTCGGCCTGTGGCTGTCACACAAGTTCAAATGTGCTAGTTAATGGTTTGGGTCAATTGTCGACTCAAAAAAGTTAGGATCAATGCGCATTCCTGTGGAGGGACCATGGGCCCGGTTTCTCGCCAAGATGTTGGGTACCAATGTGACGTACGGGCAGCTTGAACGGTAAGGGAAACCTGTGCCATCACGACTTGTTCCACAGATAGTAGACAAAGCATATCATGCTATAGTTATAGCTTATACTTTTCTGGGGTGGAATTCAGACACCGCTGTAACTCGTCTGACTTTCCGTCCCCGTACATGCTTGTTATCATTTTTTCCCAATTAAGCAGGACCTCATGAAAATATGGCTAACAGCGCATGTGGTCAGGGCGGGTAACAATTAGGGGCAGGCCCCTGGCCATTCGTCACTAGTGACGTCTGCGCAGCGCCCAGTGTCCTCTTCACTTCGTTGATTGACGACTGTTATTCCTTTGGAGTGGCAGTAGGCGTCTTAACCTGGCACCGGGGCAGGCCCTAGGCGTGATGGCTTCTTTTGAGCTGAAGACACTGGCCGCGCAGCATGTTGGGCCCGCCGTTATCAGGGAGGTGCTGGTCTCCCCACTTGGAGTAGTTGTTCTCCTCACGACTGGGGCTTCATTTCTCATCCTGGACTGTCGAAACGGACAGCTCCAGCTTCGCCACCGCATCCAAGGGCAGCAAGCGGGCATTACCGCCGTCGCACTCTCTGGAAAGGGTTCAGAACTTATCGCGGGCGGCGCGGATGGATTTCTCAAGTGGTGGCACGTTCTGTCAGGCGATGAATCATGCTCTACGCAGTTTCCCATTGTACACCGGAGCCGCTCCGACCCGATCAGTAATGGCGCGCCTGTCCTTGCGATCACCGCTGTTGCCTCCGTGAAGGGTGCTAATCTTGTGGCGGCAGCAAGTGGGAGGTGCGCGCTAATTTCCCACTCGAGTCGGACAGGACGGTGCCAGCTTTCTGCGACCTAAGGATGGCACAGCGAATAGCAAGCTATCTTAGGTTACCTTATACCAGGAAATAGCCCTGATCGGCTGATCGCGGTGCTGCAACAACGGTTACCTTGCCCTCGCTCGCGCTTCTCGCACGGGACTGCGGCTGTTGCGCCATAATACCAATCGCCAGCCGCCGCCGCACGACTGCCTGCTCCGCGTTCCATACAAAAAAATTTCACCACGGGACATTCGCACGGTTGAAACTGCGGTAGCTGCTTGCCTGGGTTACTTCCCCACACTGCGCACCTCGCGCTTCGCGGGCGCAACTTTGAGCCGAGCTCGTCCGTCCCAACCTATTTCCCACCCCCAAGGTCTATTTGCGTCTTCGGTCCCGGAGGCGAGCACTTGCACACTATCCCAGGTTCAACGGAGCAAATTCTATCCCTCTCGTGGGCGACGCCCGACCTTTTGATAGCTGCCGCGGGACCGGTGTTGAACACCTGGCAGGTGCGGGGCTTTACAGCTAAGAAGAGGTATTATGCTTTGGCTATGACCGCGCGGCCAGGCGGGTGAACAGCTGAGCAGGTTGCTTCGCCCTCTCCGGATAACCCTGACAGCACAAAACCTCTGGGGAATGCCATCCAATGGGACGCATCCGACACATACGATGACCAGACCATATGCATGGCACAAAGCCCATTATCTTTTAATGTTGCTCCGTCCATCCCTATCCCATTACTCTGTTTCTGCTTGCTGATCTGTTGATCTATGCTGCAGGTCAACCAGTTTGAGTGTATTCAAGCAGAATCATACACAACGACCGACGCCGTTGACATCCCCATCGTGGCTGCCTCGCCGGAGGGAAACCGCGTAGCGGCAGCCTGCGACAATGGAACGGTGCGCAAGGTAGTCGGCAGGGCAGAGGGCGGAGCAACCGGCCGCAGAGGAAACATCTAGTCACTCTCGCCAAACGGCTCAGATACTTATTCTTTCACCGTGCGGATCAGTTCTATGGATACATGCCGCTGCGGCAATGCCGCCCACATGAGCGCTGAATTTTGACGATCAAAAGTGAATCGCGCTGTGAAAGGGAGGGGAAGGAGCCCAGCACAGATCCCCTGGCAAGGGGGGGGGGCTAAGTCTACAGGGTAAAGATACATGCGGAACCGATCAACTTGCGCAGAGTAAGGGCTTTAGAGGCCCCGGTTCAGGGCAGGCCGGTTGAATAGGATGCCTGGGCAAAGGAAAGAGATCTGGGCAAGAGGTAGCAATCGTATATGGGGGGGTATCGCAGCTATCCGCCAAAGACGTGGCGAGAGGAAAAGCGAATGTAAGGCAAATTTGCACCATCAAGGATATAAACAGGCGCATAGGGGTGAATGCTTTGCAGCACGCGTATGGCAGAAATGTTTGACATTCCTTACAGCACCGGGCTGTCATCGCTTTTTCCTGCACGAAATTTTAGTCGTTATAGTTATTCCTCTCCCCCGTCCCTGGTTGACCCAACGCCATGCTGAACCAGATCATCGTTTGGAGCCTCACGCCTCGTCCCGCAGCAAATGGTGCCAACGGAACTCCGCGCCCGTGCGAAACGCATCCACGTAACCCAGACCGGATCCTGGCAAGGGGCCTGCAAGCGCAGGTGCGCCTGAGTCCCTCTAGTAGACCCGGCGGTTGGGATGTAAAGCATGGCCGTGATGCGCAATCCATTGTGGTTGTAACTTGGTCCAGCAAGTCTATGCGGCAACAAACTACGTGGCGCCTATCCTGGGGCTGCAGGAGTCTCGTGGTTGCTTGGCTGTTTGTGACGTCATGCGTTTGAAGCCGTAAGGGCTACCTGCGTTTTCTCGCTTCCGCCATCCTCTTTCCAAAGAAGGGTTGCGTTGAGCACTACCTCTGGGATATGGATTCTGGCATGGTGGGGACGGAGCAAAATTAGGACCGAACCTGAGCCACCGGGGGGCCGACGCCGCGGGGGTTGGACACTTTTGCCTCTGGTGGGTGAGGCAATATGTACCCGCTTGTGCCTTCGCCAGTACACCCATGGCGTCGCTGTTCCGACTAACCTGACTTGGGCGCGCCTGTTTTTCCGGCGCGCTAACCAACCCTGTCCTGTGATAGTTTTCTTAACACAGCGCCTCGCCGCCATGGCCACTGCTGCTGCCACCCCGTTCCCGCCCCACGGCTCCCTCTGCCGTCCTCCATGCGTTCTACTCGCTGTCGAACCTCGTGCAGGCATCTTGCATGAGCTGGGATGGCCAAGGCCAGTTCCTGGCCGCGATTGTCAGAGGGCGAGGGCTCCTATGGTGGGTGCTTCGTGTGTCGAGCTTGGACTTCCGTTGGCAACTTGGGAAAACGGCAACTTGGCAAGGGCCGAAAAGCCTGATGGATTGCACGGCTTAGTTCTTCTAGTTGTCTGATCATGGTGCTGTGCCGCCGTCGTGAGTCAGGACTTCCTCTTGTACATGACACCGGTACCACGGGGGGGGGGCCTTCTGCATTTGTTGAGCTTTGCGAACTTTTTACGGTTAGTGCGATATTGCCATTTTCGCCACTGCTGCATCCAAACTGCCGTCACCGTTGCTTGCTTTTGCACGCAGGGACGTGTCAGCTACTGGCGCCTCAGCCCAGGAGCCGTGTGAATTGCAGGTGGCCCCGCAACCGGATGGCTCCAAGCCTCGGCTGTTGTGGTGCAAGTTCCAGCCTGGGAGCTCCGTCTTGGTAGGCTCCTAAAGCAAGCTTGGAGGGTATCTGATTATTTGAATGCAGCTGTGTCGCTGTGGCTGCACTCTGCTTTCCTGCCCAATCAATGTATTGGAATTTTGCGGCCTTTGATTTGGGTCATTGCGAAAACTTATGGATCATAAGGAAATTGGAAATTTTCCTCGATTGAACGAACATCGAACCTCCATATCTTGCGTTCGTTCTTCAGGTGTTCAACACACATCTTCGTCTCATCCAATCTCCTGGAAATCTGCCCCTATCTCTTTCATGCAAACCTAGACCAACCGCACGCCCCCTTTCCCACCGATGTGTAACGCATGAACTTCTTCTGCTTGCACAGGGTGCGGGTGATGACAAGGGTGTCGTACACATCTTTGATGTTGCCTTCCTGCACACGCCCGCCGGCGCGTCGGCTGCAGTGCTGTTTAGCGCATGCCGCAGCGCCCCGCCGCCACCTTCGCCTCGGGGCCCCGCCGCAGCGGACGTGTCGGGTAACCTGGAAAGCAGCACCGCTGTTGCTAATGCTCACGGCGGCGCTACGGGAATCGAACTGGCAGGCTGGAACAGCTCACAGCTTGTGCTGGCTCGTGCTTCAGGTGCGCTATCTAGCACGTTCGTGCGTGGGTACGGTAGTGATAGACGCGCATGTTTTTACTGTTACAGAAAAGCGGGCGAGCAAGCGACGGGTGAGCAAGCGAACACATGTTTGGGTTTGTTTTCCTGACGGGGTTTGCATGCAAAGGCTCTATTTTTACGGTTATTTTCACTTTGGCGCTGTTTGCTACATTTGGCGACGAGCAACCATCTCAATAAAAAGCTGAATTCTGCGGCTCGCGGCATCCTACCCTGCTCAGAAACCCTGCATAGATTCCTTCCCTGTACCTTCTGTTCCCTCACGTCGGGACCGTAGGCTGGCCTGGACTTCGCAGTCCTGTGTGTCTCGCAAGCTTTTCATGCTCGTGCTTAGCTCTTGTTGCATGTCGGTGGTCCTGTTTGGTTTCTCGGAAGTTTCCTTCTTTAAGCCGTTTGGGACTGCGGCATTCTCACCTACACCCTCCAAAACAGTTTGCTATTACAGATGTCGCCAGATGGTTTTTGCTTCTTGCGTGCAAGCTCCCTCGCCGCCCGAAAATTACCTTCACGCGTACAGGGGATGTGGCCCTCGTGGAGCTCATTCAGTCTTCTGGGGTCCAAAACCAGGGGAGCGTCCCACCGCAGCACCAGCACCAGCATCACCAGCGGTCCGGGGCAGCGTCACGGAGAGCGGCAGGTGCGGAGCCCCCGCCCCCGCCGCCGCCACCACCGGGCACCAATGCCACAGCTCCTCCTGACCGTACGGTGGGAGCGGCACCAGAGCAAGCTTTGGAGGTAGGTAGACGAACAGAAAATTCACACTACGGTATCGCTCTGTACATCCGCCGCGCGAGAGGACGAATGTACTCACTCGTCCAGATCATCTTTTTTTTCTACTTCCAATAGTTATCGGGTTTCCTTCGTCGTTTGTCGGTCTGCCTTCTCTGCCTGGGAAAGCCGCAGATTGTCACCTTCTGTAAGGCAAGGCGGACGTTCCCTTTGCTTCATTGCCCATTTAACCTCTGTGTGGTCCTAAAACACGTGCGCACTGGCCTACTTTGCCTTCAACAAGGAGATGAACGCATCGCAGGTCATTTTTTATGAAGGCAGAATAGCTGCGCTTGGCGCCAATGTCTGCCCGGCTAGTAACAAACTCGTAGGGTACAAACTGCCGGATGCACGCAATCACGTGGGCAGGGACAAGAATTCGGCCGTTCTTTCGCGGCAGCTTTGACCATACGGCAACTTTTTGCGTCGCATGCGTCGCGTTTGGTTCTCAGAACCCACGTTCGCTCTTTTACCTGTGGCGTCTTCCTGTTGCCTTGCGCCACTTTTTCTGGTGGGCTTGGCCTACCCCTGCACCCCTGCACGTGGACACCCCTGGCAATTCCAACTTCTTTTCCCTCCCCTGACTTTGCTTACACACCATCCACCCTTACCTTTTAGGGCATCCAGAGGTATTGTTTTGGATTTTTTCACACATTTTTTCACACAATGTGGCGTTTTTCCTCTTTTACCATCCGCCCTCATGGTGCAACCCCTATTGACCCCATTCCCCCTTGCCGTTCGGTCTGCAGGCGGACCGGCATAAGGATGGCCCAGGTTCCGACTTGGCCCGTTTGCCGTCTTCATCCTGTGATATTCCCAATGCGCTCCTCCATGTGCCGCCTCCGCCACCGCCGCCTCCGCCGCCACCTCCACCCCCACCAACACAGCCTCCGCAGCCCCACTCTAAGGAGCAGGCATCAGCGCAGGGCCAGGTGTCGCAGCCAGCCGCACCACAGGGCCAGCAGGCGTTAGGGCCTGGCGGCGGCGGTAATGGCGGTCGGAATCGCCGGTCTACGGCGGCGGCCGGCCAGTCAATGACCCGTAGTAGCGGCGGGTCGTACGGCCGCTTGAATAACGACAGTGGCTCTGGTTCGCTTCCGTTCACAGCGTTCAGTGGCAATAGCTTTGATAACCCAGCGGACACGGAACGGGCAGCAGCGGCGGCGGCGGCAGCGGCGGCCGCCGCCGCCGCAGCCACCGCAAGCATCGTCGGTTCGACAGCGCTGGCGACCGCGCCGCAGGGTGGTGGGTCCAGCTCGGGGACACCGTCGCGAAACCGGTGGCAGCGTGACAGCGGCAACGCTGTTCCAGGAGCACAGGGCGGAGGTGGCGGGAACCTTGGGCGCCAGTTTTCGGAGCCAACTGCGCCTTATGGTGGCCGCGGCGGCAGCGCCGGCGGTCGCGGTGGTGGCGGTGCAGGCAGTTCGAGGGGCGCTCCGCCGTCTTACGCCGACGGCGAGGCACAAGGCAGCGGCGGATTCTGGCAGCAAAGCCAGGCGGCCACGTCGTCAGCGGCTAATCCGTCGTACCGTCGCAACTTGCCTAATGAGGCCGCAGCGCAAGGGGAATCCGAAAGCGGCACGGGTGGTGGCGGCAATGGCGCCGCTGCCAACGCCAATGCTGACGCGGCGTTTCCTACAGCCGCTGCTGCGACCGCATCGGGTGTGGCCTCTGGTGTTGCGACGCCGCCGCCGCCACCACCGCCACCGCCGTACCACGCCCAGCGGCGCAGCGGCAGCTGGCAGCAGCCGCAGTCGCAGCCGCAGCGTGGCGAGTCTGAGGCTGGCGGCACGACCCACACGGCCCGCCGCAGTGGTTCTACGTCGGCATTGCCGCCACCGCCGCCGCACGATCGTCCTGCGGGTGCACCTCACGGCCCGGCCGTGCCGGCAGCCGCACCGATGGTGCCCTTGATACCCGCTGCGGCAGCTCCAGGTGGCCCCCAGGCTGCCCCTGCGGCCGCCGTCAGCGCTGGCGGCGCACTGGTGCCTGTTGATGCACAGGCTCCATATGCGCAGGTGAAGCCATAGTAGCTGTCGCATTGTTTTGGACTTCTTTACTGCAAACTCAATTACTTGCATATTTTGCCCTTAAATATAAAATAATCTGCCATTATCACTGTCTTTGCCCTGGCGTGTGCAGGTCCAGGGACATACGGCCTGGGCTTGGGGAGCCATGCCTGTGTGGCCTCCCGGTACGGCAGCTGCTCTGCCGTACGCTGCCGCCGCTCCGGCGGCACCGGGCAGCTTACCACCGACACCTGTTTCCCCAGCTACCGTACCGGCGCCAGGCTATATGGCCGTTCCCGTGATGCTGGGTCCTGGCCAAATGGGTGGTGAGTTTAAGGCGTGTGGATAATGGGATCTGGAGTAGGCAGTGAAAAATGAAATTCATTCAAGGCGGTCGGCGCCCAAGGACGGTTTTGTGCTTAATTCGAGAGCGAGGAGGGCCCGGTTTTTTCGCTGCTGAGAGCGTAGTACACCTTCCGAAAGGGCAAGTTCTGGGGTATGACAAAGGCTGGCTGCACCAGGTACGCAACCATGACGCGTTTCTGGGGGAAGGTTCGGCCATACAGTAACTTCCCCACCTCGTGACATTTGCATCCCGCGTTTGCAGGGTAATGCAAACCCAGGTGTAACGCACAAACACACGCTCTTGCCCCCCTATGCCTTGCCTGGCGTCTGCCTGCCCCTTCACCACAGAGCCGGCGCAGTACGGCATGCAGTACGTTGTGTACCAACAGGGGATGCCGTACGTGCCGTGGGGCTATGGATACTACCCGTACAACACTGGCATGGTTCCGTTCGGCGGCAGCGGTGAGGTCATTATTTGATGGGAGTTAGCATGTGGGGGAATATCGCCCCATTATCCCTCGAAGGAGCGGAGGGTTTGCATTGGCCCCTTGGGGGGAATGCTCTTTCCTCCTGCAAAGCGGGTTGGTGAGGTGTGACGGGGTGGACGACGGCGCTTGTTGCAGGGGAGCGGAAAAGGATCGTAGTAGCAGGGCAGGTAGCAGAGGATTGGCACCTTTAGTCCTCTGCCGTGCGGGCTTCGTCTCCTCTTCCTTGCCAGAACGACACAAGTTACATGGTCCATGCTCCATGACCGTAAAGCCCACCCATCAGGCTATCCAACTATCCTTAGCCACCACCCACTTTCCCGGAAATCTGCAGCTGAGAGGGGAAACCTGAATCACCAAGCCCTTTTACAAACCGCCCTTGTCCCGTCCATCCGTCCCGCTTGCCGTCCATTCACTGCCGAGCCGTAGGTCTGCCATCGCCAGGTGTTGATGTGTCCGTCGGATCTCAAGCTGGAGTGGCCGGCGGCGGCACTGGTAACGCCGGTGCTGACAGGGCTGGCGGAGGCGGCCAGGGGCCGCCGCGCCGCGGTCGGGGGCCCTCCGCCGCTGACATGGGGGACTCTTCTGCGTCGGGAGGGTCGTTTGGAGGTCCTTTCCCTGCAGGGTCTGGCACGTTACAGGTGAGTGTTGAGGACGTGCTGAGTGGGGTTGCGGGTCGCATGTGTATGGGGCGGAAGGGACGTCCCTACAGGGAGGCGGGAGGAAAGGAGTGATGAGAGCGATTGAGAAAAGCATTGAAAGGGCGTGGTTGAGCTAGATGGATGAACGGTGGAAGGGCGTAGAAGGAAGAAGGAATATCTGCTCCAGCGAAGGACGATGTAGTGTCGTGCGGCTGGGAACGATGATGCGGTCGGGAACGAAAATTAAGATACCGGGTCATCCCCAAACGAAGTTTCCATCGTTTTCCCATTCTACGTCTCGCGACGAAGAAGAGCCGGCACGAGATGGCGGCAAATCAGTACTGTGAGGACAAGTATTTTTAAGAAAGGCGACAATGAGTGCTAGTGCTAATGGGGATTGTAGGTTTTAAGTATCTTGTATTTGCTGTCTCCTCCAGTGGAAAGTCCAAAGTATTTTTCCACGTCGGTTGGGTTCTTGCCGAGGCAGATCTTCAAAACCAGAAACGCCGTCCTGACCCTCTAGGACTCACGGTGACTCACTTAGCTGACTCGACAGTACCTGACCTAACCTGACCTTGCATCCTCATCTTCTTACTTGGGTCTTGGGACGGCTTGGGGGCCTCCTGCTACCACAGAGCTCTGGCGGCAGCTACGGGGGCAACTCTCCCATATCCGCTCGCGCCCCTCGCCGCGGAGGTCACGACCCACAGCAACAGCAGCAAGGCGGTGGTGCCACCGCCGCCCCTGGCGGCGCAACTGGATCGGCGTTCTCCCTATTTCGGCGGAATCCAACCGACGGCGCTCCATCGCAAGAGAGCGGCGGAGCAGCAGCACCGGTGGCGGTGGCGGTGGCGGGCACGACCGGGTCCGCGAACCTGCCACGCCAGGGTTCCGTTGGTGGGGTGCCAGGGAAGGAGCCGCCCAGGCAGCAGCAGCAGCAGCCGCCACGGACTCAATCTGTGGCTGCAGCTTCACATAACGGTAGTGCCGCCGCCGGTGCTCCCAGTAACGTGGCGGCACCGGCGGCACAGCCGCCGCTGCCAACGAGATCCAGCTCGGGAGTGCCGCCGCCGGTTCCCAATGTAACGCCTGCAAACTCCATGGACCGAAAGCAGGCCGCCCTGGAGGTGGAGCAAGGCCAGAGCACCGGCGGTATTGCCGTTACCGCAGCAACCCCACCGCCGCCACCGCCACCGCCGTCATCTGCGCGGCCTGACAGGCAGGCTGAGGGTGGTGACACGGAGTCAGCCGCAATTGCGATTGCTGCGGCAGCAGCAGCGGCTGCTGCTGCCGCCGCAGCAGCAGCCGCGGCGACCACGACGGCTACGGGCAGCGACACGAACTCACGGGAGGTGTCAGTGGACAAGGCCAGCGTACCTGCCTCAGTATCCAAAGAGCAACAATTCGCAGAGCCCGTGGCTGCGGAAAACAAGCACCGCCAAGGCCAAGCCCACTCGCAGGCGCTGCCGTCACCGGCATCGTCGTCGTCACTGCCGCCGCCGCCACCAGCGCCGTCACCGGAGCCGGTGGAGACCCCTGAACCGCCAGCGGGACCGGCGGCGGACACCGCTGCCGTCGCTTCTGAGCCAGCGGCCAGTACTGCTGCTACAGCCGAAGGCCGGCCCCCACGACCGCCCGTCGCCGGCGGCGCCAACACTACCGCTCCCACCGCCGCGGCTGCCGGACAAAACGGCACTGGTCACGTCGGCCCGGTCCGCGGCGTCGCCTTTCAGAAGCGGCCTCCAGTGTTGGCCTCTCCGGGCCCTGTCTCTCCGTTCGTCGTGCCAGCGCCAGGGCCAGCAGGACCCGCTGGTGGTGCCGTCGGTGCCATGTTTACTGGCGGTGCAGCGCCGCCGCCAGGTGTCCCCGCTGCGGATGTCGAGGATGACCCCCGGGTCGTGTACGTGGGCCACCTGGCGCCCAATACCGATGAGCACGCGTTGTACATGACGTTCATCCGCTATGGCCCCATTATGCACCTCCAGGCAAGTCGCAGTGCGCCTCCTCTCAGTTTCAGCTGTCCCTGCTCCCTGGCCCCTGTCCCTGTCCCTGGCGCCTGCGCTCCCCCCAGTCGGTTCCTGCACTTAGGGTTGCGAGTAACCCTCCGCCTACAGTATTTGCCTTTCCTTGGAGTATCAGTCTAGCAATGTTATAACTTTAACTAGGTTTTGTATGGTTTTTCCTTCTCATTATTCGTCTGTGGTTCGTCTTCCCCCGCGTCCTAGGGAAGGCGATGGCGGAATCCAACCAAAACCTGGTTGGGAACTTTGACTGGGATCTGGGCTGAGACCAAAGTCGGCCAATTTTCCTTGCCCGTCAGAGTTTCGATTTGACTCGGGACTTAATTAGCGAAGACAGGAAGAATTGGATTCCGGCCGCTTACCTTCTTTATACATCTACATTTTCATTTCATCCAGGCACACGACGTGACGCAGGCCACCCCTATCTCACCCCGCCCTTCATCCATCCCCCCCCCCGCCCATTCCCTGATGCGACATACCTCATGATGATGATGATGATGATGATCATTATGCCCTGATGACGCAGGTCATGCGCGACAAGGAGACGGGCGTGTGTCGCGGCTACGGCTTTGTCACCTTTGAGTCCGCGCACCAGGCGAACTTGGCCATGAGTAGTCTCAACGGGAAGCACCTTCCGGGGCAGTCCATCCCTACAGATGGGGGGAAGGCCCTGCGTGTGGCGCGGGCCGTCAAGGTAGGCGGGTTGCTGCAGGACGGTGATGGTAGTGGTGAGGTAGGCCACAGCCACAGGTAGGGGTTCTAGGCCAGGTGAGGCCAGCAGAGCCTAGAGCGGGGTGGGGAAAAGTCGACTTTTTCAATATTTGCGCTTTTTGCGTGAAGGGCGCTCTCGAGGGAAGGGAAGGGTGGGGAGGTGGTGGTGGCCCCGCGGCTGAGGTCTGAGGTGCAGCAGAGGTGTGGCCGGCGTCTGCTTTTCACTCCATTCTCCCTATACAACACTCTTCATCCGATACACACGTACCAATCTGCCACTCGTCTCAACAAGGCTCGTGTTTTCCTTCCCTCACGCTGACTTCTCGTCGCAGTCCCAGGATCGTCGGCAGCTGAACAACCTCATGGCGATGAGCAGCAATAGCAATGGCAGCGGCGGCGGCCTGCCATCCCGCCAGAGCTCCAGTAGCAATTATTACCCACGTCATCCGCCGCCGCCGCCACAGCAGCTGCAGCAGCAGCCTGGTGTTGGGGTCCCCAGGGGGCCTGGAGCTCCACCATATGGACCTCAGCCGGGCGGTCCTCAGCAGCAACAGCCGCAGCCGCAGCAGCCGCAGCAGCAGGCCCAAACACAGCAGACCGGCTCTCAGGTGCAGCAGCAGCAGCAGGCCGCCCACCCGGCTGGACAGGCCGGGGCCGCTGCTGGTGATGCAGGAGAGAATGCGGCTGGGGCGGTGGCGACGCCGGCAATAGGAGTGGCTGCTAGTGGTGGCCCAGTGCCGCTGCCGCCGCCGCCACCGGTGGTGCCGGCAGCCGCTGCACCACAGCTGCCGGGGGCGGCGACAGCGCCGCCGCAGCCGTACCACCAGCAACACACGCAGCAGCAGCAGCCAGGGCGATCTGCTGTCACGGGCGGCACGGCGGCGTCGGCGCCACCGCCACGCGGTGGTACCGCCGGGGCAGGTGCCGGAATGTTTGGTGGCAGGCAGCAGCAGCACCAGCACCGCGGTGGTCCCGGCTACAGCAGCGGCGGGATACCCTACCAGCATTTCGGTGCTGCTGGAATTGCAGCGGGCCCACCGCACCGTCATCAGCACCATGTGCAGCAGGCGGTGCTGCCCGGCGCAGCGCCCCCCCCGCCGCCGCCGCTGGGTTACCCTGGCCCGGCTGCCGTCTCGCCCGGGGCAGGCTACGCGATGCCGGCAGCGGCCATCAGCGGCGGTCCCGTACAGCCCCCCCCGCCGCCGGTGCATCGTCAGCATTCAATTGGAGCCCCACACCACCACCACCACCACCAGCATCACCAGCAACAACACCAGAACGACGGGAGCAACTCGGCACGAGAGGGCCACGCCCCTTCGGAACCCGGGCAGCCTGCACCGCAGCCCGCACCGCAGTCCCAGGCGGCGGCACAACCCCAAATGGTCGTCTACTACGGCCAGCCGCCCGCGGCAGCTGCAAATCATCACCACTACTTTTACAGCCACCACCAGGGACAGTACGGCATGTACGGTGTGCCGCATCACCAGGCAGCCGCGGCGGCCCTCGCACAAACACCGCCAGGCCCGTACTTTTACGCCGCCGCGCCAATGCCGTACATGGCGTACGGCGGCCAGGAAGTGGCGGCGGCAGCACCGCCCCCAGCTGTGGTCTACACGCGCCACGCACCACATCACGTGGCTGCGCAACAGCAGCAGCACGGACATGGTGAGATGGTGGCGGCGGCGGCGGCAGGGCCCCACGCTGGCGGCGGCGGCAGCGGCGGCGCGGCGAGGCACGAGACCCCCGCCGCTTCTAAGCAACAGGGTCCGCCCTCGGCGAGGGCGGAGGCAGGCGGTGGCCCTAGCAGCGCGCGCTAAGAAAATGAGCCCTCGGATAATGTGGGAGAGAAGCTCCTGTTTTGTTGCCCTCCCGGCGTCCTGTACTGCATGTACTCCTCTCGTCATGCCCATGTACTCCATGTCCTCTGCCGTGCACCCAGTGGCCCTACCAACTTGTGCATGAGAGTTACCGGTGCATTTACCTACCAGAAGAACCCTAGGCAAGGCACAGTAACCCCAGGCAACGTCGACTAACCACCAACGTGTTCGCGGGATGGTGAGGGTCACGATCTCGGTTTTGTCCTTTGTTTTGTCCAGAGGAAGGGACGCCCAGACGGAACTGAACCGTGTGAATCGTCTTTCGTTTCCTGATTCCTTGGGAAAGGAAAACACAGAGGAGGATGAGGGAAAGGGACGAGAAAGAGGTGGGAGAGAAGAACAGGACGCGCCTTGGGCGTTGAAAAAACGGAGGCGAAAGGACCCAAGTTCAGAAAGGGCACTGCGGTGTTTCAATAGCAGACCGTCCGCGCTGCTTGGTCTTGTGGACAAAGAGCATATAAGTGGTGTGTGTTGGAGCGGGGCACCGATGTATGTGTTGCAGGCGGGTGCACGCCTTGCCTCGCACGCGTGCCTGTGTTTGTGTGCCTGTGTGGACGTGTGCGCGCGCGCGCTGGACCGGACTGAGACCTGCGGGAAGCGCTGAGGTCGATTGTGTACGGCGCCGACTTTCCTTACAGCCACGGCGCCGTACAGGCGAACTGGCGTCGAGCATGTGAGGAATGGCGGGTGCTCTCGAGATTTTGCGGTTGTCGTGTCATGTCGCGTTTCTCAGTGTGTGGCTGCGGCCGCATGAGTCTGCGGCCGTTGTTTGCTTTTGTACATGTATGTGTGGCGATACGAGTTCAGCTTAGTACTCAGGTCGTTGGACATGGGCCCGACGATGCAGTATGAGATGGCGACATTGGTGCTGTTGTTCTGAGTTTTGTGTGTGGTGGTGCTCTAATGATGGTCCTTAGAAGTGGCGGTGGTGGGGACGGACGAGCGGGAGGATGGGAGGAGGTGCATGCACACGGCTTTTGCGCTCACCTTGTACACGAGTGAGCAGACGCGTGTGACCCTGAGGGCTCGTCCCCCGTACCCCCTCCCCTCCCCTCGACTCGGTGCCGTTGGGGGAAGGCGTTCACCTCTCCCATTTCCTCCCCGCCTTGCTCCTCCTCCTCGTCCTCCTCCTCCCGCTTTTCACCATGTGAGGATTCTGGCACGGGAAAGTGAAGGAAGGGGCGTTGGAAGGGGCCTTTCCCCGGCATATCCCCGGCAGGTATTTCTGCCAGGTGATGTGGAGCAGCGTGTCTGCGTGTCCGGGTCACGCTGGGGATTTATGTCGGTCGGTGTGTTCCATGCGAAAGCGTTGAAAGCTTCAGCGCGCGGGCGAGCGCTTGAAAGGGTGGAAGAAAATTCCTTTCGTAAGACTGTTGTTGTGTAAGTCTTACAGTGTTTTACTGTGGTTTGTGGGCTGGCAGAAGTGCTCATGCGCGTGAAGCGGTGTGTCTGTCTGCCTGCCTGTGTGCCTGGCAGGCTGGCTGGGGAGTCCTGGTTGGCATGGTCTATTGGCCTCGGTATGATACAGGCGAAGGGGGACAACCTGTAACATATTTCCCACCTGCTCAGGGAACAGGGGTTGTACTTCGCCGCCAGGTCATCCATTCGGTAATACCCTTTCGCTTCTTCCTTCCTGGCCCCCTCTGGCTCGAGGTGGTGTTGTCCTTCTCTCGTCCCTCCTCCCCGTCCAGGGCCGATTGTGCAAGTTTGGCAGAACAGTGTTATAGTGCAAAAACTGGGGGCTTATGCAAAATTCAGGTTACTTTTTAGTCTTAGAGTGTGTGGAGCGTGGCCTGTGGGTGCGAGCGCGGTGCTTAGGGGGACGGTCCAGGCGTGGCGTGGCCTGGCGCGCGTGTGTGTTTTGGGGGTTTCCGGAGTGAGTGAGTCGGTTAGCTGGATGTGCGCGGGCGCATGTGTGTGTATGTGTGTGTTTCAGCGTGAGGTGTGGGGTGTGGAACCTTGCGCGCACATTACAGCGCATATGGCCAGTTCATTTTGGGAAACAAATAAGGGTCCTCTTTATAACTGTGGCGGGACAAGGAACGGAACCCTGGCATGACACCAGTTTGGAGATGGAACTCCATGGCATGCATATGGATGGAAAACGGGTATGGTTACTACTACTACATTATTCACTCCATAGCTGCTGCTGCTGCTTCCGTCATTGCCACCTGCTCTGTTTCTCCTACTTGTTCTCGTCCCTCTTTGTCTATAGCTGCTATTGCTGCTGCCGGAGACGAGCAAGCGTATCTGCGTAGTGCTGTTGAGTTGGTCATGGTAAGGGGGCAGGTGGTGGTCATGAGGTGAGGTGAGGTCCGCTCTGGGATCCTGCGATGCGAAATGGCTCGTGAGAGCCATTGCTGGCTGGGAGACTTATGGTGGTTGGCTTCAGAGCTTTTGGAGAGCTCAACACGGTGCGTTTTGCAGGGTGCACGTCTTTATTTTACGCGTCTTTTCGTGCAGGGTGGTGTGTGGTTCTCACTACCTATATCGCTTGTGCTGTGTGGGTGAAACCCATGATCTTTGTTGTCCCGTGGGGCTCCTCCTATTGCTGAAATCGACGCGAAGAACAGCAGCAGCCCAGCGGCGGTAGCAGCGGCGCGGCGGCAGCAGGGGAAAGGAGGCGCGTCCGTCGTTTTCCGTGGCTGGTTTTACAGGCGCTGCGCATGGTGGATGATTCCTAGGATCTACATTTTGCGATTCGTCGCACTGTGGGTTCCTTTTAAAGCTCTATAGGTGGATGGGAATACGAGTGGGAGTGCGACGGGGTTGTGGGGTTGTGGGCCGAGAAGGGGAGACGGGGAACGGGGATGGGGTGAGAAGCAGGAGGTGCTGAACTCGTTGAGGTCATTACGCCGGAGCCGTCAAAACAGTGTGGCTTGCTCTGGGGTTTCGCTCTCAGGGCGGAGTCCCCCAAGCGGTGAATTTGAGACCCCGGGGAGTTAAGAGGAACACCGCTTGGACGTCGGCAGGGTGGAGGGTCGGAAGTTTTGAATTGATGGCAACAGGAGTTGAAGCACAGAAGGCGAGGGACATTGCCCAGGCGGCGCGGAGAGCATGATGGTGCAACCAAAGCCAGCCCTGGCGGAGCTCACGAAGGGGAAAGCGAAGAGGAGAAGGGAGACGCAGTCTATACTGGATTTTGACGGGACGAGAAACGGATTTTGCTTGTCGGCCTTATACAGCTTATAGACCAAGCGGTTTTGGCCGGAGGCATTGTACAGCTGCTGTGCTAGTATTCGCTTTCTCCGCGCACTCCAGGTTTACGAGCCACTTGAGCATGCGTGCAACGCTGCACTTATGGCACGGTGCGTAGGCATTCCTGAAGGGGGAATCCGATTTTGAGTTGTCACCCCGTGGCTAACCCTTTGATGAAGGAGAAACGATGGACATATTTGTAAAATAAATGTACCAATAGGAGCCGGGTATGTTCGTTAAAAGAAAGGTCATGCAGCGTCCCCAACTCGGAGTTGTTCGGATGGAACGCCTCGTAAGATCCTGGTGCTGCTTTAATATCATATGACCTAACACCTTAGGCAAAACAGTTGATTACCAGAGATAAAAACCTCAGGATCGCCGCCGCCGTGCAGCGGGTATGCCACCCAACATGAGGCAATTACACTCGTATCCGTAACGACCTGCGAGGGCAACAATAGACGTACATATGCATACATACAGATATACGTACATACATACACACGTCCGTGCAGCGTCTCCACGTCCCCCATCCCTGCAGTCATTCCTTTGGGCCTGACGCCACATAGAGCGACGCGATGCAGCACACGTGACATGGACCGTCTTACACGCCGTCCATGCTACTGTACACAGTTCGATATGATTACGCTGCTGTCCGAGAACGTGAACATCCTGCTATCTCTTTCTACTGTGCGTTGTTTGTGTGTGTGTCCGAGGCTACCTGACCTGACACTTTCTCCCCCTTCCTCTCTCCCTACATCTCCGGCATGCGCATGCACACACACACACACACAGATACACAAACATACACACACGTCACATGCAACAACGTGATATTACTTTTCTTTTCACTTGCAAGTTCACTCCTTGGATTTCTTGCGCCATTGCGGTGCCGGGCTCCAGGCCGCTTCTCTCCCACGCACTCATAAGCACATCACATCACATCACAGCAGCAGCAGCAGGAGTACGCCCATGGAAGTGAAAGTGGAAGGCGGAGGGCACATGTTTTCAGCGTCCTCCGCGGTCCCAATCCCGGAGCCACCGGTGCTGCTGTTGCTGCCGTACATCGCGCTCTGCTGCTCAGCGCAGGATCGGCCGCTCATATTCCTCGCCATCGCCGCCACCATTTGTGCTTGTCGTTGCCGTCACCTTCACCTTCACCTCCTCCTCCCGCGCGATGGCATCCCCAATCAACGCCTTCACCTTGAGGCCTGAGGAAACATGATGTCTGGAGGCACCACGGAGAGCCCAGGCAGCAGCTGCTTCCTTTGCTAAAGACGCCCTTGAGGCGGCGGAGGAGGTGGCGGCGACGAGGGAGGCGGTGGTAGAGATGGCGGTGGTAGAGGCAGCGGTGAAGGGAGGCAGCACCAAGCTGAAGTTGACGTTGACGCAGGCGAGCTCGTCGCCGCCGGGGCCCCGGGCCACCACTTGCAGACCGTAATCGCCCTGAGTATTACGGAGGTGCGGATAAGCGGGGGAGCGAGTAGGGAGTGGAAGTGTGGGACAGGATTAGGGTGGTTGTGGGATATACGCGATAAGTCAAGGAAGCGCTCATACAGTGCTGAAAAGTAGAAAGCAAGAAGTGAAGCCGAGTGGGCGGGAGACGGACCGTATGGACCCGTATGGAGAACGGTTTCGACGAAAGGAAAAGATAGGAAAACAATAGCGTGACTCGGTGAAAAAGGCGCACAGGGAAATGTGGGGGGATGGAGCGGGTGAGGGGAAGGCTAAAGCAGGTTCCAATAATTTCTGCGCGCATACATGTGTAACTGCTGCCTCGGAGCACGCGGCACATGCAGCATACATCGTTGGGCTCACCGGAGGGGCGATAGGCGGCAGCAGCTCCTCGAGCGTCAATGAGATGGGACCAGCAGGCACTGGGCACGTCGTCTTGGAGCAAAGGTCTGAAGTTGAGCTGTAAATAGGGAATCCGAAGAAAGAAACCACCATGTCTACAGAGCCCCCTTGTAACTCGGACTCTGCAAAGTACATTTGGTACCGTAAAGCCTTTACGATTGCCCAGGCAGGAAAGTCCCAAAGTCACAACGCGAGACCGAAAGGCTCCATGAAGCAGATATTTACCAATATTTCCTGAAATGACAAATGTTGCTGCGGAGCCGATGACCGGGGGATCCGGGGACAGGGTCACGGAGCTAGGCGTAAAGGCCGTTTGTCCCTCATCGCAAGGTGCCCACGTCATTTTATCAGCTGCTGCATATTGACATAAGCTTATCGCCGCTGCCACGCAAAAGGCAGCAAGAAGTGCTTTGTGAGAAGCCATGGAGGGATAGAAAGCCCTTGGCGCTTTGGGTTTTCAACAAGCCTTCAAGACCAAAAGGAATCACCACTCGCACGAAGAACGCTAACCAGCAGTATATCAATGACCATAAGCGTGTGTACACAGGCTGAGATGTGCCATCCCAAGCAAATACCGTACAGTGCGGATCGCCTCGTACAATCACAAACCACAATATGTTCTTCGGAGCTTCCCAAGCATTGGCAAACTTTCACACAGGCTATTGCCAATTTGAACTGCAATCACTTTCCATAATCGTTATGAGCAGAGACTGCACTCTTTTTCCATTCCTCGTTCTGATTTTTCCTTGATCGACTATCGGTGTGCCTGCGCATCGGTCCTTACCACATATGCCTGTTTCAATATCCCATGAGTTTCAGGTAGTGGTCACATACGTACATGCCCGGCCTTCTTCGGTTGTTGCCACCTTTGACCCACCATCGTGGCGCTGACCATAATTAATCAGCATCGATTGGGGCTGGTGCCGGCACCCTGTCATATACAATCATACTTACCTGGCCCGCTTCTCGAGGTGGTCAACATGGCCTCGGTTGTACGATCGGTCTTCGCCTTGCACTTCGCGAGGGCCTTTCGTAGTCGGCCCTTCGTGTGTCCGGCAGGGCTAAATTTTTGAAAGGCTGAGGATCTGCGCAACGCGCGACCTCGGCGCCCAGGCAAACAAAGTTGATCAATACACGTACAGCGCATCTCAATTCCTAGACTGATTAAGCTGATGTACCTGTACGAGATTGTCCGATTTAACACGCAAACCAGCCAACCTGGTCCCAGGTCGAGCAGCTTGCTGTCCCCCGTTCCAAGGTGTTTGTGAACAATAAACCCCAAAAAATCCGGTCTCTTAAAACTTTCCTCCCTCCTAACTTCTTTGAGGCCAACACGCGTCAACCTGGAAATCGCTCCACTCCCCAAACCAACAATGCCATCACAGAGCTAGGAAAAGCTGATCCCATATATACGTATGGCGCCAGCGCCGCTGAGGCTGCTGTGTTTGGCTTGGCAATTCCTCGGTTTCGGACCCCAATGCTGAGCATGTGGCGCTGTCATGATGTTTCGATTGGGGAGCTCCTTTTGGACCGCTGGGTGCCCAGATTGCTAGGTATGAATGAGGGCCAATAGCGAATACCACTGCTCGGACGGATTGGCATGTACCTACGTAGCACTTGACGAAGTCATCCAGGGAAAGCCTGATGCCGTGACGCAGGGAAACGAGCACCGGTACGGCAAAAACGCCCAACAGCTCTGGGCTCGGCACCATGCACTGCTGCCAGTATTAGTAAAACTGCATCTTCTGAGGGTGATTAAAGCCCGCGCTTAGCGTTGGCCCTGAGCCTGCTTCATCTCCGCGCGTCGCTTATTTTGCACCACACTTCTCTTCAACAGCTTTTTCCTCGATCAGAATCTCGACGAAAAAAAATGCTCACGCCCACCTTAAGTTCACATACGAGGATAAATCTCATTGCCTCAGGTTAGTAAACTTGCTGAACGCGTCGGCTTGCTTGAGCAGCTACCACGTGGATACTGAAGCCGTTTTCAGATAATTCAGCTGCAAACAAATATCTTCACCTTGTTGGGATATGCATGAGTCGGCCAGTGGATGGAACGCTTTTGATTTGCAATCCAATGCAAGCCTTCAGTCCATGGCCTCTCTTAACGGCCTGACGCTCCCTACGTCGAAAAATGAAAATTAAAACGGGCAAAAAGCTTACGTTAGTGCACTCAGTGCTCCATTGCTCCAGTCAAAACTCCTTCGACCCATCTCAACGACCACATTCCAAGTCACCATACCCCCATCCAGTCATAAGCCCCGCACCCCTCCAAGCCGATCCGGGCCCCTCTTTCCCTTAATGCCGATCTGCCACAGGCCGTGCCGTCTTTGGCTCTAAGTCGGCGCTGTCACTGCCGCTGCACCGAAAAAGGCAGCAGCTGCTACTGGTTGTAGCCAGGAGCGCTCCAGAATCTTCGTCACAGCAACAGCAGGCCGAAGTTGCAGTAGCAGATCCTGATACAACCGTTTTGCCGAAGCAGCCTTCGTTATCAGCTGCTGACGTCTCTGCTGCTCCTGTCGCGGCGCCTGTGACGGCGCCAGTGACGGTGACGGCGGCTAGCAATACGGTTGCAGGTAGTGTCCGGCCCGTGAAGCGCCCGGCTGCCCGCCAGGCGGAATCAACTGATGCTGTGGCCACTTTCCTAACGCGAAGATTCGGGTGCGTGCGTGTGTGCTGTACGGCCCGCCGTCATGCTACTGCCAATGATGATGTCACTTTGCCCACCACTTTGCACAGTTCTGCCATAACTCCATTTTGTCCGTCACGTCACGTCGTGCACCGGGCAGCAAAATGCCGCTGCTAGCAATTGCCGGATGACGGCTTTTCTTCATTTGCGAAGGCAGGTTTTGCACCCCACGCCAGCCACGTTCCGCTCCCTTTTTCCTTCATGTACAACGCATGTGCACATCCTCACATGCGCGCTATCCCTTTCTGCGCTATCTCCACATCAAACTGCCTGTAACAACCTAAGCAACATGTTTTCTACATCTTCTCCTTCGTAGCCAACCTCACGCCCCACTCCGTCTGACTTGTGCGCATAGTGGTTTTAATGGCTGCGTCGGCCCTCATGCCATCAGAGTTCAGGTCCTTATGACGGGGGGGGGGGGTATATAGCTTCAATTCCGGCCGCTTTTTTTGGTATTATCACATTACCATATCCATTTCGTACGCATGCATACATGCATGCCCGTAGCGCGGAATACATACCCGCACAGAATACGTGCGTGTCGACTGTCAGGGGAATAGCTGAGTAAGCTACCTCGTATATGTCGTACATGTCGTACATCGTCGCCAGCACTCCGTCACCTACGCCCACTCTCTGCCCCTATTTCCCGCTTTCGTTTCTGATTGTTACTGTGTTACCGACGTCATGCATGATCTCTCCCGCCTGTTTAGGATCGCTGGTGGACTTGCCTGGTTGGGCTTCCTGGCGATAGGGACGCTCGGAGAGCAGGTGTGTATGTGTGTATGTATGTGTGTGTATGTATGTGTGTGTATGTGTGTGTATGTGTGCGTATGTGTGTGTATGTGTGCGTATGTGTGTGTATGTGTGCGAATGTGTGCGAATGTGTGCGAATGTGTGTGTATGTGTGTGTGTGTGTGTGCGCTACAGATCAATCCGGGCCTGACGCTCGCCAGGGGAACGACCGCCGAAGCACTCACCGTCATTGGAGGGCCGTTATATATAACGGTCAGAATCCTGACCGTTCGCCCGTATCCACGCACGACGACAGCATGGGTCATTTAATGAGCCACGCTTGTCTCAAAGCAGTACTATTTTCGCCTGACTGGAATGCTGTAGCGGGTGGCGGGTGTGTTGTCGTGCATTGCCGTACGCAGCACGTGAGCCTCATATAGACTCTCCCTTCCATTCATCAGATTCCTTTGGCATTGCCATTGGGGCGGTGTCGATGCTGCTGCCACCACCGCTACCATGCCTTTCTCCGCTACCGCCGTCACTGCTGCTGCTGTGCTGCCGCTGCCTCCGTCACCATACTGCTAAGAAATGCTTCCCGCGATGTGATGTGTGGTGGTTATGGTGGTTACACAGATTAAAACCCGGATGGAGGTGGCGAATGAGATCAACGGTACCAAGGACGTGGAAAACGCACCGGAGGTCAGTGTACGAATGGTCGTACATGCGTGTATGCGGTCGATTTACCTTTGCGGTTGGGGCTGGTAGAGTTTTTCCATGGTCATACATACATACGTACATACATACATACATACATACATTTCACGCAAGTTTGTGTGGCGAGCGGGCCTCAAGACCTCCCAAACCCGCGTTCCATTCGGCATTTCTTAGAAAAGGGAAGGTAAACATCACCGACGTACATCCATTGCGGCTTCGGAGTTTTAGGCTTCCTAACCATTTAATCCCTTACTAACCCCCAACATCCCTAGGCTGCCTGCTGCTTTCCCAGTCACATATTGATTTATGTCCGGTGTTGCACGTGCGGTTCATTGCAGTACAAGTTAGTTTGTACGGTTATATATTCCTTTTCCTTTCATCACATCCACAGTAATATACCGTAGAACACGAGGAAAACGCGACAGGACGCAGTAGGCGTTACGAACCTTTATGATGATGTCCTGTTTTGTTGTGTGCCCTCGACACCCTAGGTTTTCCTAAACCCCTAATTTCCCTTTCAGCTTAGATTTTTTGAGGAGGCGATATGTGTGTGACCGTTGGATTGATTTGATGTTTTCGCGCATTTTATACGTTTTACACAAATTTTGAGAGGTGAAATGTTACGCAAATCAGACCCTAATGAAACCGACTACTTCGAAGTAACTTACAAATTACAAGTTCCGCCCACGCATGTGTGTGTGTGTGTGTGTGCGGTTGTTACAGTGGGCTCCAGACTCACGAAGGGTAGAGCCAGCGGGCCAGCTGGCCGTGCATCACTGCACTAGAGACTAATGTACAAACTAGACAATCACCCAGATGAGACAAGTAATGGCAATTAGCCAGTCGATACAGCGACCAAAGGGAAGGCTCGGTGTACGTAAAAGCCTGAGGGGGCCCCCCTTGGACGAACTGCAGCTAGCAACACGCACGTAGCAATCACGCAAGCTGATAAATCTCCCTCCTGTATCGCACTGGCATAACGTATGTATGTATGTATGTACGTCAGGTGGTGCTCCCTAGTGGGCTGCGCTATCGCGATCTACGAGTTGGCGGCGGTCAGAGCCCCCTTAAAGGCTACCTTGTGGTTCTGGATTACATGTGAGTTCGTGTGTGTGCGTGTGTATGCATGTCTGTGTAGGCGCGTACGCATATGCATGCTTGTATGTGAGTTTGTGTGTATGTGTCGGCTTATGTATGTAAGTCCGGTCATATAATGTATATACGGATGCATGGATGGATGGATTGAGATTTGCCATTTGCAACCCTCTCTCTCACTTTCTTTTCAACCCCGCTGCCACATGTCTTGTCACCCCCTCGATACCCCACACCGCCCCGGTCTGCTTACACTGCCTCCCCCTAATTTAGAGCAGCAGCAGTAGCAGTAGCCAGAACCTCTTCCTTTACATCCCCTGCCGCAGCTAGGCGGACAGCTGTCTCCTTTCCATGAATCATATAAACACGGAAGACAACCCCAATACCCATCCCCTCTCCGTATTAGACAACTCTCCCGACACCTTCAAACAAACTTCCCCTTTTGAAACAATCGTGTTCGTTTCCTTCCGTCCCGCTTTACGTACAATGTACGACAGCGCCACGGCGGACGGCGTGCAGTTCGAGTCGACACGCGCCCGTGGCAAGCCCATCGTCTTCCTGTACGGCAGTCGGCCGTACACGGGCGGTATGTGTGCGGGTCTAGAGCAAGCGCTAGCTTCCATGAAAGCTGGCGGGAGACGGATTGTGACCGTGCCGCCCGAATTGGGTTTTGGAGAGCGGGGTGCCGTACTTCGGCCCACGGAGCACGTGCCAGATAAGCAAGGTATCGTACCGCCGGCCGCCACGCTGGTGTACGACGTGGAGCTCGTCCGTGTGTCGATTCCCCCTTCGTGACGAGAGAAACGAATTATTGACAACGCCTTACCATCGCGCGCTCCGCCGTCATACATCACTTCGGGAAATACCGAGCGCACTTTTGTTGTTTCTGTGTTTTGACTCAAAAGTAAAATTTAAGCTTGGTGTATTTGCCTTGGTGATATGAAGTCCGCCGCATCCGTTCCGTGTTGTATGTTTCCGCTATATGAGGACGCAACACACGGGAAGAGTCGGTTGGGTTGGAAGATAAAAGAGTGCGGTATACGGGTCTCGAACCGCTCTATGTGCGGTGGGGCCGATAGAGACGAATCATCTGCACCGTTTTCTGAAAAGATAGGTTTATGATAAGAATGAAGGCATATGCTGCGGTAAGCTACCTGTTTATATTTCGTTTTTCATGTACGGGGAAGGGGGGGGAAGAAATCGTATGCGAGGAAACAAGCGACCAGGTATCGTGGGGGGAGGTGAGGAGAAGTTTTGTTGCTATGCGTCGTGGGGGATTGTCGCAAGTACACTACACGCATGCAAATTGAACGTATAAAAAATGAATCACACCGGAGTGGAGTGATTCGCGAGTGAGAAGGTCCGACTGTGAATATAAATTCACCCGGTGGTTCCCGAGGAAGGGCTGCTCGCTTCGCATCGCCCCCGCTCACCCATGGTGGTGGGTTTTTCAAAGATGTTGGATGTGTTCATGTGTACGGCAGCCAGGCTGTACATCAAAATATCAACCAACCAACCAACGGACTGCCCAGCTTTTAATAACTGTTCCTCAAAACAGGAGGTCATAGCAGCTGCTAGATAGCTGGCTAGGTACATCAACACCCCGATAGTAAGGAAAAGTATCAATATACCTGATGCTTTTACCTTAAGTTCCAAAGTCGATATCCCGCCTTCACAGGCTAAGTTCGCGCCAACTGCCACATGGCCAGAAAGCTCCGAAAGCGAAAACGAAAATTGTTATATCACAGATAACGTATGTTCTACTCCGCCTCCAACACTCTCCAGCGAGCCCCGCGCTTCCTCTTCAACTTCTACACCTTATTTCCTTGCGATCTGCTGCTGCTCCTCCTCCTCCTCCTCAGCGTCCTCCCGCTCCTCCAGCTTCCTAGGCATCCAGCCATCCAATGCCCATCCGATCCAACACGGTCGGCCCCCACCCCACAACGGGACCCGGCCCCACACCGGCCGCCTCACCCCTCTCCCGTGCTCCAGGGGGGGCCGTGTACGAGGAGCAGCTCCTCAAACAGCTCAGGAGGAAGTGACAGCAGGTGAACATGTTTATTGGTCGGCTTTAAGCCCGCCTTATGCCATTTTCGTTATGTCGATATCGCATGGAAGAGGGAGGCCGACACAAGCATATCTGCGCGAGGTAACTGTCGAGAGCGGTACAACACAAGTACACACATACACGTACAGCAACAGTGTACATCGGAATGTACGGCAGGACGAGACACGTGACACGGACCTTGGCCGCGGCAGCTGAGTCAGCATCGCGATCAACTGATCAGTCCCATATTCCCGTCCAGGCCTTCTGCGCCTCCGAAACCACGGTCCAAAACTGCACTCCTCCCACATACATAAACTTCTTCCTTTCTTCTTTCGCCTTCGGAGCCGTCCGTCAGAAATAAAGAGAGTTAAAAGACACAAGAGAGAATTCCGTAAAATCTCTTTTTTCTTGTCCAAGATTGGCAGGATTCGATCGATTTTCAAAGAGCCGTAATCGCGTTTCCGTGCATGTGAGAGCCCGCTGAAAACTGAGAACCCCCTGAGCGCTCTGCCCCCGGGGGGAGGACCCTCTGCCTCTTCATTGCGGCACTGATTGCCTTTCGATGGGGATGGTCTGAAAAAGATCTACGGAGAAAACAGTCCTTCATACGAGAATATATTTTTTTTACTTTCAAAAAGAGAAAAAAATCGAAACTTGGAGGAAATTTGAATTTGGTTCAAAATCCCAAATCAGCTGAGATTTAAAATCTGACCAGACGCGCCAAGAGGGGCCTCAACTACCCTTCATTCAATCCAATTCAAAACTACACAAAGAAGTCCATTAACAGGCAACAAGGCTCATCTTGGGAATCCCCCGCACCGCCGACACCGATGCTGGCGCCGGCGCCGGTGCTGGTGCAACCAGCATCAGCTCCCTCAGTAATCCCACCAGGTGCTTGTGGCTGCTGCAGCAGCCCGCCTTCCCCAGGCATCACCGACGCCGGCCCCGTCGCCGACGCTGGCAGCGCTGCAGGCGACGGGCCTGTTGAAGCGGCAGCAGCAGCGGCCGCAGCAGCTGCGGCCGCTGCGGCGACGTGTGTTGCGATTAGGTGCGCTGTCAAGTGCTGCTGCAGTAGAAGGTGCTGCTGCTGCTGCATCTGCTCTTGTTGCATTAGCAGCAGGTGCTGCTGCTGCTGCTGCTGAGACGGCGGCGGCGGCGGCGGTGGCGGCGGTTGCTGCAGCAGCGGCGGCGGAGGTGCGGGCACTTCCGGGTGCGGCGGCGGCAGCTGGGCCGGCGGCGTTGAGGCAGAAAGAGCGCCTTGTCGCTGGTGCTGTAGCGACGACAACGGCAGCGGCGGCGGTCCCGCCGCCACGCTCGCCGCCGCTGCTGCCGTGGCGGCGGCAATGGCTTCCGCCGGCGTCATCAGCGGCCCCATCTGGTGTCGATGCTGACGATGATGCTGCGCCGCCGCCGCCGCCACCGCTGCAGCCAGCTCAACAGTACACGCGGAGGGGGCCGGCGGCGGCGGCGACGATGCGCCGGAGGCTAGCGCCGCTGCGGCCGCTACCAGCGAAGGCGGCTGCGGCGGCAGCAGCTGCTGCAGGAGCCGCGGCGGCGGCGCCGCCGCCAAGGCTGTAGCACTAAGCGCGGAGGCAGGCACCGGAGTAATGGCTACCTGGTGCTGCTCCTGCTGTTGTTGCTGTAGCTCCTGCTGGTGATGGTGGTGGTGATGATGGTAATGTAGATCCGTCGCCGCAACAAAACCTTCGGCGGGCTGCTGCTGCTGCTGTGGTGGTGGTTGTGGTTGCTGTAGCAAGTGTTGTTGACGGTGAAGTTGCAACAGGCAGTGATGGTGATGGTGAAGAGCAATACCACCACCGTCAGGCCCTGTTGCCAAACCTGCACTGCCAGCAGTAGCAGTATCAGCTGTATCAGTAGCAGTAGCTGTAGCAGTAGCAGCTGATTGATTCGGCGCGGCTCCAAAGCCAACACCACTTCCGTGCGGGGCGGTAAGGAGAGGCTGTAGCAATGACGGGTTGGAGGTTGGGGGCGAGGTGGGGAAGGCGGAAGCAACTCCAGGAACTGTTGCTGCTACTGCCCGCTGGGCCTCCTCCACAGCGCCGATATGCGACGGCACCGCCGCCGCCGCCGCCGCCGCGGCGTCGACTCCTTGGACGGTAATGGCCCCGTCCGCCGCTGCGAGCAAGGGCGGCGATCAAATAAGGGGAGGTAATGAGAAAATCTGAAGAGAATCTACGGCTCCGAAACCTGAAGATACGAAGCAGCCGTCGGACACAGATTGCTGTTCGTCAGGTGTACAACGCAAAATCACACGACACACACGCATTACGCACCTGCTGCAGCTGCCGCCGTCGCTGCAGCGGGGGCGGCAGTGCCACCGCCGCCGCCACCGCTAGCGGCGCCGTTCTTTGTACCCCGCGGCCTCGCGTTGCCGCCGCCGCCACCAACGCCGCTGATGCCGTCACCACCAACGCCGTTACTGCCGCCGCTGCCGCTGCCGCCGCCAGCAGTGCTTGGCACCGGTAGCTGAGCCCCAATCGTCGCCGCCGCCGCCCGCACCTCCCCTTCTGCCTCCGCTGGAAAACTTTTAAAACCGTTAACGACCTGATAACAGTCCAGCACGCTGATGCGCGCGTTGTCGTACCTGCCGTACGAAAGCGCATGATGCTCGAATAATAGAACGGATTCCCACCATCCTTCAAATAACAAAAAAAACTCTAACGTCTATCCCAACGCGGGGGTGCTCCCAGTACAAATATCCATCCACAACCAACCGCATCCATTTCCCCCCCCCCGTCCTCCCCCCTTCCCCCAAAAAACACGAACCAACTGCACACGTGCAACCTCACCTTTAAGGCTGTTTCCACCCTCCCCTCCAAATCGCACAAACCTACCGTGTGCGATTTGTACATGGCAGGTTTGGTGTGTGTCAACTGTACATCAGTCGTACATACACACGTCATGCACACGTACACGCACACGCACGACCGCACCTCCAGGGCTGTTTGCGACGTAGAGCCGAGTTCCAATGGTTCTGTTCCCCGGGAAGAAGAAAGGGGCGAGGGGAAGTACGACAGGGTCGGCGACCGTACCAACAAGTTGACCAGGAGGAGCAGAGATATGGGTCAGGACGCGTCGTGGAAAAAATTGGATTGAAGGAGGTAGAAGCGGAGACTGAAACACAAACGAGCCCTCAAAAATTGCGCCGTACTTCTGATTTTACCACAAGCCCAAGTTCCACTTGAAGGCTGGCTTCGCAAGTTCCCCGGGGCCCCAGCGCGGGGAATTGGTGGGCGGAACCCGCAGTCGTACATGTCGTACCTTGACGGTGTTTTCGCTGCGGCCTCCCCCCAACCTCCTCGCAATGTCAGCCCAGCGGTTGCCGATCTCCGCGTGAGCTCGTACAAGGCCCCACTCTTCCTGCTCGTCCCAGTTCTGTTTGCCCCGGCCCCAGTATCCCCGAGGGCCAGAAGGTTACCCCCCAAGAAGAAACAAAGAGAGAAAACAAAAACTTGAAGTGTGCGGTGCCTGTGTGCTTGTGTGGATGTGTGTTTGATTGGATGATCTGAGCCGCAGCCGGAACGTGCGGGAAGAGATGTAACGAAAAAGGCGAAAAAGGCGACGGAGGAGCGCCTACACGGAGAGGCGGCGTCCGATCAATATATACATCACAAATCGTTTCAACCTCTGTCATATTTCACTCCTTCAGGGCGATATACTTATATCCCTGCCGTACTCGTCACCGTACATATCTGCCGTACTTGCCTTTTTAGAAATGTCGGGTTTCAGGTGGTGCAACCATCGCTCCCGACACTGCTTGGCGGAACGGCGGCCCATCGACCCATCCGGAGCGGAATAGTTGGCGGCGGCGGTGTTGGCAGCTTCGTTGGCGGCGGCGGTGTTAGCAGCTTGGCCCACATTTGGCACCTGAAAATACTGGGAATGGGCCGTCCCGTCGACGGTGTTGGCGGCGTTGGCGTTGGCGGCATTGGCGGCGTGTCGTACGAACCTGGCGTTGAGTTCTCGAGCCACCCTGCACCATTTTCCCTCTCCATAGACGGCAACGAGCTCCGCTGCAGCCGCCGCAGCCGCCGCCGCAGCCGCCGCCGGGAAACACCAGAGGTTTTATTTATTTATTTATTTATTTTATTTTTAGTCAGGGCTGTTTCATAAGTCGGGTTTTTCATATGGGTTCTATAGGATTTAGCAGCAGTTTTTGTAGCTGGCCCACCCACTGTGGGGCAATGGGTGCTGGGCGTGAGCGGGCTACCCCGCAACCGATTACGATGGCATGATTGTACGACGCTTTTATTATAATACTACACGACTTGTCTTTTGACTCATGTGCTGTCATATTCCCCTACCTGCGGAAAAGCTCATCAAGCATTGGAAACATTCCCATTGCAATTCACTGCAATTTCGAAAAAAATCATCAAATGCTTGGGAAAAAAACATAAGACTTCTGAAAAAAATTAAAATATACTATAAAACAAACCCATTAAATTTTAAGGAGGACTTCCGTTTCCGAAGCTGCGGTAACGGTATCTTACCAAGAGTCCTGCTCTCCGCCTCGGACCAGACTCGCTTGCTTGAGCTGGCGGAGCTCCCGCCGTTGCCGCCACTGGCGGCGGCGGCGGCGGCGACCGCCTCCGCCTCCGAGCCTGGCAGCCATGCCCCAGCCTCCCTGCCGCCACCCACCGCCGCCATCACGGCCGGGCCGTCGACGTGGCCTGGGCGCCCCGCTGGCGGCGGCGCGACCTGCGCTTGCAGCGATGCCGCCGCGACCGCAGCCTGCTGTACGGCAGCATGATTCACGGCTGCTGCCGCGGCCGCTAGCTGAGGATGGTGCGGGAGAGTTGGCGGCGCCGCCGCAGCCGTGGTGCCGACCGATTGTCCTGGAATGTACGACATAGTTGCAAGGAGCGGGTGCCGTACATTAACGCCGCTGACGGTGTACGATGGCACCGCCGGCTCCGGTGCAGTACGGCCGAAGTCCGTTGACGGAGCAACAACTTCCTCATGCTGCTGCGGCGGCTGCTGCGGCAGCGGCGGCTGTAGTTGCAGTAGTGGAGGTTCCGCAGCTGCAGCCTCAAGCCCCCGCCGTTGCGGCGGCGGCTCAGGAGGTAGCCGTTGCTGCTGCTGCTGCTGCTGCTGCTGCTGCGGTGGCGGTGGCGGCGCTGGCCGTAGCAGGGACTGCTGCGGCTGGGGGGTTTGAGGTGTCGGCGCCATGTGCGACGACACGGCGGCGGCAGAGCCCGTGCCGGCGGCGGCAGCGGCGGCTGTAGCAGCCGACGCTACCGCTGCCGACGTCGCCTTCTGCATCTCCAAAAAGTAAGCTGCCGCAGCCGCCGAAGAGGACATCATCATGTAGCTCCGAAGCGCCATCGATGGGTGCATGGCAGCTGCCGCCGCCGCCGCCGCGGCTACAGCCGCGGGGTGCTGTAGCACCGCTGCAACTGCTGCTGCTGGCACCATGTCTTGCTGCTGCTGCTGTGGCGGCGGCGGCGGCGGCAGCAGCGGCTCAGGCTGTTCTTGCTGTTGCCCTGGGGTAAGCAATCGTCGCCTTTTGGGGCTACGAGTGCCGTCACCTCCGTCGCCTTCAGGGCTTGTAGCAAGAGATGATAGCGGCGGCGGCGGCGGCGAAACCAAAGCATCACCACCGGTGCTGCCGCCGTCGGGCCGCGCTATGGGCGGTGGTGCTGGAAGCTGCTGTTGCGACACCGCTACTACCACTGGCTGCTGTTTCGCCGCCGCTTCCGCTGGTGGTGCCGCCGCTGCTGCTGCTGGTGGCGGCGGCGGTGGGGGCAACATGACCAACGGTGACAGCGACGGCGCTAATAAGCTCAGGGGCGACACCACGCCAAAGCCCATCATGCCCATGGCCCCAAGCGCTCCGACATCGTACGGCAGGAGCGGTGCCCGTCGCATCGCCGCCGCCGGCGCAGCTGCGGCAGTCGAGGCCGCGGAAGGTTGCCCTGCTGCCGCCGGCGCCGCCGGCGCCGCCGCCGTCGGTGCGGCCTCGCCCGACATGCCGTACAACGGCACGTGTGTCGGCCCCCGGGCATGTGCCGCCATCGTCTCAGCCGCCGACACTGCCACCGGCATGCAAGGGAGAGCTGGCACTCGGATGGTTGGGGGCGGCGCCGCCGCCGGCGCTGCCGCTGTCGTCAGCATCCCCAGCGGCGGCGCGGCCGCATGCGGTACGGAATCGTCATCGGAGGCCCGCTCTCCGTATTCCGCCGCCGTCGGAGACGAGGACCGAACCTCCGACGCCGCAGTCGTACTACCTCCGCCGCGTTCCACAATGCCGCCGGAGACGAGAGCTCCAGAACCTGTACGACAATGAGGCCCCCTCCTTTCAACTCCCCCAACAGTCACAGTGATGTGGCTGTGGAAGCGTGTTTTGCATGCCCGAAGTGCGTACTGCCCGTCGCCGCCGCCCTTGCGCTATTGCCGTACACGCACGACACAAGACCCACGCAAGCTTACCAAAACAAAAAAAAGACCCGGGTCGCTGTCGGCCGCACTATACCACACATCAAACACTCAACCCGCCGCCGTACCGCCGTACCTGACGCGCCGCCGCCGGTCCCGTTGCCGCCAATGCCGCCGTCGCCGCCGCCGTCGCCGCCGCCGCGCTTCTCACCCTCCTCTCCGCTGCATTCGCCGTCGCCCCCGTCGCCTCCGTCCTCGTCCCCGCTACCCACAGCTCCCACATCACCATTCTCACTTCCGTTTCCGCCACCGTTCCGTACATCGCCGTCGCCGCCGCCGCCGCCGCGTGCACGCGGCTTCAGCCCGAGGCTAAGTATGTACTGCTTGAGGAGCGATGGCCCCCGTCCCCGATCTCCGGAAGATAACTGTTGGTGGTGCTGCTGTTGGTGCGGTTGGTGCTGCTGTTGGTGCGGTTGGTGCGGTTGGTGGAGCGGTTGGTGCTCTCCCCCTTGGCCTAAATGTTGATGTGCCCCAGTTTGCTGTTGCTGCCCCGTCTGCCGCTCGTCCAGCTTCTGCCGTACGGTACTATTCCAATGGTTCTGTTCAATGTTACAGATTGCATTACGTACGGCAGGCAGGTATGACGTGGCAATTCAGCAACGTGCGAAGGTAAGGGGGGGAAGTGCGGGGGCCTTCCGACAGGGGTGCGCGTGTGTGTGTATATGTGCTATTAATGAAGGGGGAAAGGGGAAAAGGATGTCGTGCGAAAAACCCGTTGCTTTTGTTGCTATTGCAGTTGCTATTGCTATTGTTGTCAGTTGCGCGGGGACCAGGTGCCAGTCTGTCCGTCAGTATGTCAGTTTGTCAGTCGTTAATGTTATCCTGGCCCCTCTCCTCCCGCGCCCTTCTTCCTGCCAAAAAACACATGGACAGACGGACGGACAGACAGGGAGACGTGCAGACAGACATGCAGACGGCCAGGCGGACATCTCCCAGCCGTACGTCATCATTACGTAAGGGGCCCCTCGACCGATCGGCTTCGCTGTCCGCCACTGCCGCGCCGGTCCCATTCCCAGCAGTTCCACTCTCATTCCCATTTCGACTCCCACTCTCATTCCCACTCCTAGTCTTCTGAGGCTCTGCAACGTTGCGCCGCCACCGCTGTTGCTGCTGCTGCTGCTGCTGCTGCTAATCAAGTGGTGGTGCTAAGTGGTGGTGATGGTGGTGGTGATGGTGGTGGTGATGGCGGTGCTGCTAAGTGGTGGTGGTAATCGTGGTAATCGTAGTGCTGTGGGTGGTGACCAACCGGTCCTTCCCAACGTACCTTGACAGCCGTTTCCGTACGCCCCGTCAGCAGCATCGCGATCTGGCGCCACCTGCACTCAATATCACACACACCCCGAAAGAAGCGTACAAGTTCAGGTTGAATCATTACTTAAGACCATAAGGCATATAGGTAGAACCAAAACCTGGATCACGGGTTAAGGTCTGGCGGCCATTCTCCCGGGGCCCCTTTCCATAAACCACAAACCCGCCTTCCCTCCCCCTCCCCCTCCCCCCCCTCCCCCTCCTCCTCCCTCTCCTCCTCCTCCCCCATCTCCTCCTCCCCCCTTCCCCCCCTCCTCGCCGCCGGCCTCACTTGTTTCCTAGGCTCTTATGCGCCGCGATGATGATCCGGTCCTCCTCCTCCGTCCAGTCCCCCGTACGAATGTACGGACGCAGGTGATGAGCCCAACGCTCCCGGCACTGCTTGCCGGTACGGCCGGGGGCCCCCTGTGGAGTACGACCCATAGCCGTGTTGAACGCCGCCGCCACGTCGGTCCAGCTGCGGGTTCCCAGAGACTCCACGCAACTGCGTGTGTGTTTTGTGAGCGCGCGCATGTGTGTGTGTCTGAGTGTGTCTGTGTGTGTGTGTGTGTGTGTGTCTGTGTGTGTGTGTGTGTGTGTCTCTGTGTGTGTGTCTGTGTGTGTGTGTGTGTGTGCGTGCGTGTGTGTGCGTGCTGTGTGTGTGCGTGTGTGTGTGCGTTAATGATCTGAGCTACGGGCAGGAACTGGCGAGGATGATACTTTACGAACGTCTGCAGGTATGTATGTGTGCGTGTGTGTGTGGGGGGGGTGCGTGTGTGGGGGGGGAGTAGACGTCTATGTATGTATGTATGTGTGTTTTGAACAAGGTGGGGAAAGAAGAGCGCTGCACAGGCATGTGCGTCTTACTGGCTGGCTTCTTTTGAAACTCTTATGCCATTTCTCCCCCCCCCCTTTTCCGCTCACCGCCGCAGCGCGGCATCTTCCTCGGATCTCCAGGCCCCACGCAGCACATTACGGTTGCTTGCACTGGGCCCACCGTTCTTGATGGATCCGCCACTTTCCGTCAGGGGCTCCCGGTTTGGATCGGAATGGACAGTTGTCATGTGTGGGCGGGGCCTGGTATGCAAGCCTCAGAACGTTGTAGGCTGCCCAGATGTGTGCGCTTTACAAGTTGACAACATTTTTTGTACGAGGTTGAGACTAAACGCCAGAGTTCTTTTGCAGCAGTCGCCAAAATGCCAGGTGCAAGCTAGCCGGGCGCCAAATATGAATTAGCTTCTGCAACTGTTTATATAAATAGGAAGGCTCACTTTTGTCATATGCTCTTGGGCTTAGTTCGACGACATTTCTAGGTGGTTGCCGCACTCTAGTTTGACGACAAGATCAGAGGATGGGGCAAAGAATCTTCTGCACGTGTACTCACGTCAACATGCTTACTTCCCGCAGGCAGATCGGCTGACTAGGACGAAGTTGTTAGACGAGCTAGTACGACGTGACGAGGCAGCAGTCGTGCCAGGTAGGGATGCTTTGATTCTCAGTAATGGACTTTAAAAGGTGGTGGATGTATGGATGCTTAAAAGCTTTAACGAGCTTGTACGGTCCAGACGACCCGAAGGCTTATGAACCGCCTTACTCAGGCAAAAACAGGAAAAGGAAGTAAAGAGGAAGGAATTCAAGAGATATCGGGACAAAGAACTTCACCATAGGTCGGCAAATCGGTTTCTACGGCTGCGGGAGGGCATAATTTCGGTCAGTAAACCTAAAAGACAAACTCAGAGCTCAAGTCCAGCGCGCGGCCCTACTCGCCGCAATAGAGGCTGCAAGTCACGTCTTTTGGTCAAATTTTGGTCGTTAGTGACCCGCAGCCGGGGCCTTAAGCCGAATTTCGGCTGCGGGTACTGCTGTACGGACATGCAGTACCCGCAGGATTTGCCGATCTCTGAGCTTCACCAAAAGCAAGATACCAAGCAACCAACTTGTTGCGTTTAAAAGGAAGGAGAAAAAGGCCGCAGGTGGAAATAAAGCAGAAAACCCAACAATAACGAAGCGATTGTGATAATCCCAACGGTATTCACAACTCCACCAAGACAACTGCCAGCAACCTGCGGATACGCCGGTAGGGTGGCAAGCTTGCAAGTGGCAACCCCGCATTTCGGCAAACGTGTCGATGTCTCGAGGCTGGTCGAGCCTTCGCGCAAGTCCAACCCCGTGAATACATTTTTGCATGTTGTAGCCTGCAGGCGCGCCTTGAATCTTCCCACCCGAACTTGGTTATGAGGCTGCAAATGCATGCCTGGGAGTTTCCGACAAACCCAACATACCCAAAGCTCAAGGGTGTTTGCTAAGAAGTTGGATGGAAGGGGATGCCTGCCAAGTTGTGCAACTTTTGCGCAGTTCCTGGTGCAAACGGTGCTTCACGCTATCGACGGCCGCCGCTGTGCTGTGCTGTGCTTTGCCTGCTTCTATCCATGTGGCAAGGTTGTTGCAAATTTCAAGTGAAATTTAGGTGACCTTGAAAAGCGGCGAAGATCAAAAGAAGGACGAACGCAACCGTCAAGGCCATCTTACCCCCGCTTGTGCCCTTCGTAACTTTTGCTGCTTTTGATGAACGTTGATGTCTCTGAAACTCATAGGGCAATCTGGAAAACTTTATTTACATCTCTTTCTCCCGCTCTCCGCAACAGACAAGTTTTTATTATTACTTAGTTACCGCCACTCCTCGTTTTCGGAGCATTCCTTGTGCAGGTTTGAATTTCCACACACGATCTCACGCAATACACTGCAGCACGATCGACGCACCGGCTCTTTCCCCCTCGCCCTCTACATGCTGTCCAAAAAGGAATATTTAAAGAAAAGCTGCGCCGCGGCCAGCGCTGCGAATCAATTTCAACTCCCCCCTCCAAAAATGCACATATGCAGGCAAGTCCTATGCTGCTATCCTGCAAACCCCCCTGTCCCGCACCCCCCCAGTTCCCAAGTCGCCCACATCTACCCTCGCCGTCAGCTTTCAAAATGTTGCCGTACGGGTGCCGTACTGCTACGGCGTCCAAGCATGTTGTTTTTCGGGACAGCGGGATGGGTTTTGTCGGAGGGGAAACGGCGTGTGGACGGAATTATACCATGCTGCCGTACACCGCGCTCGCGCGCGGAATCCGTACACTAACCGTCATGAGCACCAGTTTGCCCTCTTGCCCCCTTTCAACCCCCGCGGCTGTCCCAGTCAGAGAGACAGGGAGAGAAATTCGGCCCAGAGGTCCAGAACCGTGACACGTCCTGCATTGCCCCAAAAGGCACGACGGCGCTGCTGGTTGTGCCCATACAATCTCTGTACTTGTACGACATTCACCTCTGGATGCGTCTCTCTAGCTCTGCGTATGCACTTCCGGGCACAGTTGGGGCCCCTGCCAGTCAGTCTGTAAGTCTGTCTGGCCGTCCGCCTGCTTGCCGCGATGATGAAAAAGCATCCCGGATCACCAGCCTCCGAGCCTTCATATTTATGATGGTTATGATCGGTAGCGAAATTATTGGCAGTGGCAGAAGCAATCGCTGGCAAAACGGTGGAGATAATAGCTGTAAAATCAGCGACTACTGCTCGCCGCGCCAGCTCCAACTGACCCCCCGCTTGCCGTGGCGCCACCACCGAGCCGACCCCGTAAAAAACCCTCGTCGTCACGTGCATCGAAATGTGTACCAGCCATTAGCACACGCGCCCCGAAACCATTCTTCACGAGCGCCTCATCCGTGCCAACTACCAACCATTTCCGCACGCTTCCGTGTACGAAGCACGGAAACCGCCAGATGGGCCAGAAAAAAGGTAGTCGTACATCGCATGGTTTAAAACTCCCTTTTGAACCATGACGCGAACGGGCTCTCAGATATACATACGCGCAAAACATACGCAAACAATAATGGACATCATAGGGGGAGAATTGCAAAAAAAGATAATAATGAGCGTTTGAGCCCTAAGCAGCAGGAAGCGAGGAAAAGAGCGAGGAAAGGTGCGAGAGCAGAAGAACGACTGTACCGGCGTGTGCAGTGCACAGCAGTCGCTCATTTCAATCCCATCTACCATCCCACACAAGCAAAGGCGAGAGTCCGAAAGCAGGAATCGCCCATTCTTAAGGGACGCCCCTGAAACCAGAAGCACGACGCAAACAGACAGGCGGATTCAACGACAAACAAATCTTCTCGCCAAAATGTGCCTTCTGGTACGTGGCACCTTCTGGCTGTTGGCGCCGCCGCCATCCCCCATCGTTTCCCAGCAGCACCCGTCTTCTCCCCCACCCTTTGTCCTTTGAGAGATCGAACCTGATCAAGGCAACAGTTACGACTTCTCCCCCCCCAAAGCCAGATAGGAGCTCGGTCATAACGTGCATACATACATATATTCACACCATCGCTACTGCCATTGCCATCGCCAAAAGCAGCTTCGAGTGCGAATATGCACCGACAAGAGGCGAATGTACGGAGGACGAGAGGACGCGAATTACCCCCCTCCCGGGGGATGCGAGGGGAACTCCCGGGGGATGCGAGGTGTGTTTTGGGGGTTCGGCCAGGTCTTTCCGCTCTTTATTTATCATCTGCCCATAACAGCACGTCCTCAATCGCTGCGAAGTAGCAGTGCATAGCGGCATGCAGCAGTCAGCACACATGAAAGATAATACACCCCTCCCCGTCATCTGTCGGATTGCCATAGGGCCCCCATACCCTCTTTCCCCTTCCCCCCGGCCTCCCGGCAGGATCTGCCCTTCCAGTCTCCTCTCCTCAACTATCCCAGCCAAGTCTCCCCAGCGCGGGCCGGACGGACAGACAGACATACATATCGACACACACGAATATACAGAAAGAGCCACGAGCCTCCACTCTAGAGCCTAACGGTATAACTGGTAGATAGATGGTAGGTAACATACATACATGCGTACATGCATGTTAAGCATGTTTAGGCGTTCATCTTAAGCTTAAAGCTGTGGTGAAGGGAATCTCATTGGCGTGTCGACCGAGGCTATACACCTCCCCTCCTCATGCTCACCGCCCATCCACGACCTCACCCCGCACCACAACAAGCTTTACTCCTGGGTCGTACATGTGTCGTACACGTGGTCCCGCAGGGGTTCATGAAGAAGGGCGTGTACAGGGAAACCAAGGGGGGGGACGCCATAACGGAGCAGCAGTAGTACAGTCACGGCGCATCACTGCTCCTTGTCCGTACACCCATCCGTACACCTGTACAACACACAGCCGGTACGCTCTCGATGCGGACCGACTAGCTGCTTTTTTGATTTTACCCCACCAACCAACCGCTTTGAAATGCCAGCCAGGCAACCTGCCAGCGACGTCCCCCTGCCTCCCTCCATTTCTTCTTTCTTGCGCTCCTTCCCCTTCGCTCTTACTCCAGGCCCCAACCACGCATCTGTCATTGAGTGCTTATTCCGCCATCTCTTCCTCCCTGCCGTTGCTCCAGCTGCTGCTGCGCGCGGGCGTATAAATGCGTGTATGTGTTTACCCCCTCCTCCCGGCCTTCGCTCCGCTCTTCCCCTGCCCCAGGACGACATAGCCTACTTTTTTTTTCTCTCTCTCTCTCTTTCCCCTTCCCTACTCCTCTCGCTCGCCGGCGCGAGGTCCCCCTTCTCGCCGCCCGTGGCATCGTTTAAACACCACTACCCCGCCCACTTGGAAAGTCATCCAATCGGACATTTCAGCCGTTCTCACATCCTCGCAACCTTACACTCCCTTCTCACCCCTGTATGTCCCTCTATCTCTCCCTCAACCCCTCTCTACTTGCTCCCTCTTCCACTTGTAACGCCTTGCACGACCCACACATACATACATACAAGCAGACACGTACTCTTTCACTCAATACCTTATTGGTGCTCCTTCGCATCTCATTCGTTCAGCTCGTATCACTCATACAACAACCACAACCAGTTCAGTTTACCCCCGAGCACAGCCCCACTCGGGTGCTCGGGTTCAAACTGCCGTACGTGCTGCACCCTCGACATCGTGCCGTCTCCGGTCGCGTACTGAGCGCTTCCCCGCTGTTCTACGACAGGGATATAAGGCCCAGCTCCCTCAACGGGCATGATAAGGCCCAGCTCCCTCAACGGGCATGATAAGGCCCAGCTCCCTCAACGGGCATGATAAGGCCCAGCTCCGCTCACCCCAATCTCCAAGTGACGTGCTCTCATTCCAATCCTTCACACGTACTCAAAAAGCGCGGGAAGAAGGCGGCCGCGAGGAAGAGCGGAAACAGGACCCCATTCCCCGCCCGAACACCCTCCTGCCGGGCAGTTTCGCACTCGGGGGCAGTAGGGCCCTCTTTGCCCTGCCATCAGCGTCGTACATCTATAGCATACATTCGGACATACATGGAAACTCGTACAGGTGAGCAGTAGCAGCAGCTGTATTATCAGAGCATGACAAGCAGCGGCCCAAGGCGAGGGTGCCTTCCACAATGTAGCCCAGCCCAGTCTTAGGCCATGGAGGGAAATTCCAGGCGACAAAGGCCACAGCCATGACATGCGCGCCACGGGACGAGAAGAGCTGCCGCCGCCGCGCGCGTCGCCATCGAGTAACAGGGGAATACACCTCAACGGATACCCCCGGGGGGGGGGAAGCCCGCTGCGAGAAGACGTGCTGCTTGCGCCCTACCCCCACATCACTCCCGGGCATGTCAGTTGTCAGTTGTTTCCCCGGCCTGCCTGCCCATAGCATTTAGCTCCTGCTAGTGCTGCTGGTGCTGCTGTCGTTGTTGGGCAAGATGTGGCCGGAGGGCAGCAGTGCGCGCGTGTACGCCACGGGCAGTGACACCATCTTACGCCATTTGGGCACGTACGCGCGCTTCGAGAAGTTGTCGTAACCATTCAATTCGATGGCGTCCAGAATCTGGCGGTACAGAATCAGCGCAGACCTGCAAACCATAATAACCAACAAAACGAAAAAACGGTCAAATGATGGCTTCACGACCCAATGAATGGCGCTTTTAGTACTACTACTTTTATTGTCTATTGAATTATCATTGTTTTTTAATATATATATGAATGATAATTCACTCCCATTTCGGACCGTGTTCTGTGTTTTGTGTCTTCCCTCCCCCATCCCCTCGGCCACCCTCTGCCCTGTTCCGCCACCCGTAGACTCGGCAAGAACGAACCCATCCAAGTTTCATCCCCCGCTTCAAAGCTTCCCACACCTTCTGGACGCCCCAACTGCCCAACCAGCCCAACCAAAACCAACTTACCAGACGGGCCATCGTGCCTTGGGATCAAGTAAATCTACGCCAGCCTCCGCGTCCGCAAAGTACTGCCTGGCGCGTTTGATCTGAAACTTCATGAAACGCCGCCATCGGTCGTCCATCTTGCCGGTGGTGGGCGCGTGAAGACCCGTGAGCAGCTATTTCCATAAGGGGGAAAAGTAGGAGCATAACCCATATGACTATGTTATGACGGAAACGATTGATGTAATATCAACCGCTTTTACGTGAGAACTCGCATTGGGAGAAGAGGTGTCAAGAAAGGACGTACAGCCGACCGGGCAAACATTCCCAGTTTCGACTCCGTACACAAGCCCTTCTCACTCCTCCATCCTTCGAGCTCACACCCCTAGCGGTCCCGCCCTCGCATCCTGCTAGTGCAAACACGCGCAGGCTACGCTGAACGACACGCCGTACATACACCGTGCACTTACCTCCTTCTCAGAGATGCCGTACTTATCCAGCTCGTCCAACGGTACGTAGATACGGTTGCGCTGATACGCATCCTCACCGACGTCCCGCAGAATGTTAGTTAGTTGGTTGGCCGTACCGAGGGCCAGCGCGGCGCGGTACACCGGCTCCAGGTGCCCCTGCACCAGACGCGGTTATGGTGGTTAGCCGGGTGTACGGCATACCCGGACAGACGTACGGAAGTTAGCTAAGGCAAGATGAGTTTAAAATGGTCCGTGCTCTGTTCCCCAGCCAGAAAGGCGAGTGGTAAAGGAGAAACAATTACGGATAACCTTCCGTGGTGGTGCGAGGGACAAGAGAAAACGGCAGAGGCCTTTCAGAAAGAGTACGGCATGCAAAGGGAAGAAATGAACGGGAGGAGATGCGATCAAGCGCCCCGCGTCCGAACGATTCCAACGCGGCTTGGCGAGTTCTGATAATAGCAAAGATTTGGGGGGGGGGGAAATCATTTTGGGGAATCTTCAAGGGGAAGCTTCAAAGGAGATTTTGGCCGGATGCGCGAGTTCTGGGGTGTACTGCGATATGGCTTGGGTGCGCCGGACGGGCTGCGCGCAGAACCTCGGCCCCCTTAATTTCCGTGCTACGACGTGTCGTTTTGCATTCTGGACAATATGTTTAGCGTAAACTGGCAATGAGTACGACATGGCTTTCGCTTTACGAAACCGAGGAGTTTGGGAGCGCCCAAGCACCTCGGGCTTTGTAATAAGTTGCCGAGAAAGGTGAGGATCTGGGCACCGGGACTACAGCATTCCTGCTCATACTGATATCCGCCGTGGCACCCTTTTGGAAATTGCCCTTTCATTCTTCTCGCTTCATGGGGTCGACGCGGGCCGACCCCAGAGAGCACAGGGCGCGGACATGTTTCCGTTCGACCACCCAAGACCGAACTTCGAGAAAGGCCGGTTGGTCAATCTTGGCATGTTTATTCCTGTTAAAAAAGCTTCTGACTCCTAGTGAAAGAAACTCAGGTAAACTAAGACTCTGAGCCTAAGAAACGCCGTTACAGTTATAACGCCGAAACGCAATACAGGGGGCCAGCAGAGACTGCAAACAACGTGTTCAGATAAGCCATGCTATTGAAAGGTAAATACTCTTGTACGCGTCGGAGGCCGAAGGTAGTGGAAGGTAGTCACCCATGTGCGGTTCCGGCAGTCATCCCAGCGAAACAGCCCGAAACGAAAGGACTCGGGGCTACCTCCAAACAACACAGCTAGCAAGAGGCGCGTAATATGACTCACCTTGTAGGTAGGCTCGATCCCCATAATTGGTGTTGTCATCAGCGCTACCGTGCCCGCAACGCGGTAGCAATACTCATAGAGCTCATCAAAAGTCTCGTACCGAGACTTTACAAGGTCCATGCGCATGCCTTCGATCATGTCCCGGAATGGCTGGATGTGAAGCGGAAACCGCGATGCAGTGTCGGTGAGCGCAGCGTCCAATTCATCGTAGGGTTTCCCATTAAACAAGGCTTCTAGCCGCTCCTCCCAGCGGTCAAGAGCCTACACGGGGTGAAGATGATAAGGACAAAGCAGGGAGGATCAGCGCGCTAGCAGACTGCCCACCTTCGGTGTTATCCTGGATGCGTTTGGCCCGTCCACCAGCTCGTCTGTTCGTCGGCACCAGACGTAGACTGCCCAAACCGCCTTGGCTTGAGCTGGAGTCATTAGTTGCGTTCCCAAGTAGAAGGTCTTTGCATACTCGCTGGTAACCTGCCCACATTTCTCGTACGCCTGGTCAAGCACTCCACCACTCCATCTGAAGCCACGAGGCACGCTCATTTTGCGGCCTTGGTGCGCTTCAATGCAGCGCCACATGGCATAGTCCTCTACATCGCGGCCTTTCAACAGGGGAGGCGCCGCTGGAGCAGGCGACGTCGGCGTCACTACATCAGAAGGGCGCAGCAGCGTCGCGCGGATAATAACTGAACGCCTAGCCTTCGACGGGCAAGTGCGACTGCAACGGGTGTTCCTGAGTGACATTTTTGGGTTGTGTTGGCGACTCCCTACAAAAGACTCGCTCTGGCGACTTAGCACAAGTGCATGGCGCGATGGGAGCAATTATATAAAGTTATCCTCAAATTGTGTAAGCGCAATGCTGCAATTCACAGTGGATGAACTAATTTGCCTGAGGCCTCAGAAAGGGCATCTCCCCAATGTCCGTACAAAGGGCCTTCGTGCTTCAACTTTGCCTCTGCAACCATCATAGGCCACGAATTGCGTGGTGGTTACTAATTGATCCTGTACTATTCATAAAAGATTTAGCTTAGATATGCAGCAGACCTCCGCGTCGTGAGGATCTCGCGCGCACCGGTTCGGTCTTGCTGGCTTTCTGTCTGCACTCTCAGCTTACTATTACACAAGGTAATTGCAACTTTTGGCGGAGCATAATGGTTGAATCCAAGAAAGCAGACGCTAGCAAGACCGCGGAGCAACAACCGAAAGAGCAGCAGAAGAAAGAAGCAGCCGCAGACCTATTGGAAGCTGATGACCTGTTTGAAGTAAGCCACGTCGAAGGGGTAAATACTCAGGATGCTTCTTTCGGCTCGCAAAATAGCACGGGCGGCAAGTTCAAACCCTTAGACAGTTCCCGAAAGTTTCACGCGGCCATGCAGTTCCCTACAAGGGTTCTGCTTAGCCTCCCTTGCTGCCTCCTTTCCGTGCGCTGTGCTCTGACGCTCTTGCCCTGCCTGTCCCCTCCGGCTCCTTAACTGGTTGTTACGCGACGTAGGAGTTTGGCAACGGAGGTGAGATTTGGGGTGAAAAGTTGGTCCAAGTTTGGTCCACTGGCGCATGTGCGAATACTGCTCTCGTTAATCCGTAGGACGACGTGCGGCTCGGCTCACGCCGTGTCCGCCATCTGCAGTTGCTAGTGTCTGTTATGTCATGGTCCTGCTGCTTGAGAACCTTCCTTGAGCCATTCCCGTAAAGTGATTCGCATACTGCTAATTCCGGAGATTCGCGCCAGATTCCCACTCCTGCCAGTTCTCATACCGTTGCTTGCAACCCCGCCTGTTCTCAGCCTCCTTCCTGTTGCCCGGTGGGAAGGGGGAACCCTTTAGTTCCTCCCCCCCCCCACACACACACGCATCCTAAGGCGTTTACCTCCATTCATCTCCACAGCCCCGGTTTACCGCCACCCAGCATTTGATCCACATCTCCCAAAGCCTCTAAACTCAAGCTACGCTTTCTCCTGGTGCAGTCATTACTGGGTCCTCGAACCCGAAGCTCTTTTTCCTCATCCCTGTTTCTGAAATGTCTAGTCCTAAAAATCCAACTTCTGACTTTGAACCCGGAGAGCTGGTGGAGGTGGAGTAACCCCAAAATTACAAGCCCCAATGTCACTGGCCTTGAATCTCCGCCAAGTCTTGAATCCGTCGTCGCCGTTGTTCCTCTCTTTCCCTCCTAACTCCCTTATCGTGCACGTCAGCGTTTAGTTCAAAACCCAATGTGAACTCCTCTGTTTTGCAGAATGGCACGGCGCTAAGGACGACGAGGGGGCTCCTCTCTGGGAGGCGGATTGGGAGGATGAGAATGTCGCCGACGATTTCACAGCTCGGCTGAAGGCGGAGCTGGATACACGGGGAATGAAGGAGTGAGAGACGGGGGGGGGGTGAGGCAAGGGGCCCAGGGGCGACAGAGGCGGGCAGCTCTGTTGACGAGTGGAGGTCGTGACCCAAATCGAATATGGTATGGAATGAACGCCCCTGGTACCCAGAGGGGTACCCTGGTTCCCAGGGTGAGACAGCCAGGCCCCTTACAGGGGGTAGGGAACAGAGGCCGGCAGATGGCACGGCAGCTATGTTGGTGTAGCGGTGGAGATTGACACGGCGAATGCAGCTCTGCCGGTATCCTCATCTGCGGTAACAGACCGCGTGAAGAAAGTACACCAGGCCTGAGAGACGGGAGGGAGCGAGCGACCGGCGATGGTGGTGGTGATGATGATGGCGGTGAGCAACGGACAGCGCGGAGGTTGAAGGGGGGGGTAAGGTGAACCATTGACGAATGACGCAGATGCCGGAGGTTGGACGGGGTGAAGGGGGTAGGTGGGTAGAAAGGGGTATCCACCCTGGAGCTGTGAGGTGCCCCCTGACGCGCCACGCTTTGCTACCGTTGCGTTCTGCAACTAATTCGGTTGCAGCATGTTTTAGTATGACCGGATGCGTGAAGGCCGCATTGCTCCGCCTTGCCGCGCGCATCTGGTGGTCGGTTGGGCAGTGACAACCTTGCAGCTCGTGTGCGTTAATGATTGCAGCATGGACGACGGAAATGACGATGATGGTGCACATCTTTATTCCTCGACCGAAGCGAGCTCCGTAATCCAGCAAGCTGTTAACAAATGCTGCGGTGTGACCTCGGGAGGCAGGGCTGTGACCGGGGCCGGGGCCACCGCCGGTGCCTCGTCCGCGGTGCAGCATGATCCGCAGCAGCAGCGGCAGTAGCAGTAGCAATGCCGCACAGGTTCAATGGTTCCATGGCCACGGCAGCCGCCGCCCACGGACGCTTTCAGTAAGTTTTCTTCAGGCGCTTTCAGGCGCTATATGAGATGATGAAGTTGGAGATGAATGGATGGTGTAAAGATGGATAACGGTTGGATGATGGGGAAGGCGATCTTCAGGAGGCGGTATTGATGCCGGATCATCGTATGGACCAGCACGCCAACATGCCATGAAACGAACATCGCAATGAGGCAGGTGAACGAGAAGAGACCCAGGGCAGCGGACATCTGCAGCAACCAGGCAATTGACATCTGAATGCAAGAGTTGGTGAGGTGGAGCTGGTGACGGGTCATATGTGTAAAGGCTCAAGTTGCATGCCATACATTCGTACCGATTGCTGGATTTTGTTTTCCAAAAACGGCGGTCTTCTGTGAGGAGGTATGCAGAGCGGTGCTCCATCCTCGCATCCTGGGGGGTTGGGGGGTCGGGCATGCATCCTATCGGTTGGATATACATTCCACACATACACATACACCTTTTCGTATCCAACAGCCGCACCCTGCTGACTGCATCCCCTCATCCTCCGCCATCCTCATCCTTGGTGGGTTGACGTCGACCCTTTGCAAATATGCCGCCATCCTGGGCCCTCTGTCTTCCATCCTTATCCTGGGGAGGTGCGCATTTCTATCCTACTCTTTCCCATCCGTATCCTGTGCCCGACCTCTGCCGCGCAATCCGTCCAGTGTGACATTCCCGGGCGCTGTTTACGAAAATAGTACCAACGGCGGTGGGGGTCTTGTTGCCCCTGCCATCCGCCACAGGAACTGGATTTAGGTTGGGTCCATCCCTGTTGGATCCATATCTGGATCGAGGTAAAAGCGCCTATGAAAGCACCTGTCCTGGACTCCTACGTAACTGAAGGACGGCACCCGAACCCCAAATCTGAACCCCATATGAGGGGTATGACAGTTCCGCGTACACCGAACAGACCTGCAACTAAAAACCGTCGCAGCAGTGGCTGCATAGCTCGGTATCGGGGGCCCAGGAACGCAAAGCCGCAATGCATGCAGTTTCCTCATGAAGACAGAAATCGCCTTCCGGCCTGCCTCTTATCAGCGTTATCGCTATCTAATTGCACGCTCCGGTATGCCGCAATGTTGCTGTGCCGGATTCTAAGAGTGGACCAGGGCCGGCAGGCAGGTAACGCGCGCTCCCCTTCGCCAGGTTGTCAGGGATAGGAATGTATCCTAGGGTTTTATTAGGAATTGCTATTAAGGATGGGTTATAAGTCCCGCCACGGGGATATCGGCGGTCACCGCACTGCAACGCACCGTCAGTGACCGCCCGTAGTACTTCTTTGCCGCCGTACAGCTTCATCTGGACCGAACGCATTTCGCGCGTCGGCGCATCTTTCACTATTCTTACAAAAGCCAGCTCCGCGCATCCTTTAGGTGCCTTAAAAACAATAGCTGTGCGCATTGGACCAAGCCAGCGGTCAACTTCGTCACGGCGCACAGGCGACAGTGATGAGGCCGTAAGGCGGTAAGCTATGCGGAGTGAACCGAAAACCGAGGGCCCTGTGGCCGCATCGGGGCGGGAAGGGGCATGGGTGAGCAGAGGCATTCGCAGGGGAGAAATAAATGGGCCGAGAGTGGAGGTTTGGAGCAAGACGTGCTTGATGTTGCGGTGCCTGCAGCTTTGCATTACCGGTTACGACTCAGACAGGAAAGCGGCGTCGGCGAATCCTAGTTGCCACCATCGACGAGTTTTGCCCGCGCGCCTTTGTCGCTGGTCAGTTTGGTTAACACAGCAAGCATCGTCTGGAAAAAACTACGACCAGAGGAAAGCCGTCGTTATTTCATATACAACTGGTCCGCGAAGAGGTCTTGGCTCTTGATGAGATGCGGAGCGGAACATATGTCAGCAAGTGACAGGACTGACTAGTTTAGGAGGACGTTTAGAATAGAGACTTGGCTGTTCAGAGTTCAGTATGTTCAGAGCAGTATGTGAGCAGACGAACCAGGGATAGGAACAAACGAAAATGAGCGCTGTGGTTTTGGAGCACAACGAGTGATTCAAGCGTGACTCAGATGAATTCTTAAGGATTGGCCAATTAGCATTATGCACCTCTAGCATAGCTTATCATTCATAAGATTAACTGAACTGGAACAGATGAGACCTTTGCCGCGCTTCTACAATCTAGCCTAGGGCTGGCAACGTTGCTTGTAGCAACGCGACACGGGGCCTGTAACCTTGTGGGATCTGGGGTCGTGTCATCCATCCGCCTATGTGGGTCCTGAGTACAACCGATAGATAAATGGCTAGGCCGGCATACGGCCTCATAATGCCCACGGCGGGTCGTGGGCCTGTATGTTTCAAGCCGGTCAGTTAGGAAGCTCCTAACAGCTGGAAGCTTCTTTTTACACGTTAGGTCACTTTTGCTTCCGAAATCGAGACGTTCGCGTTCTTTTTTCCGGATGTCACCTTGCATGCCTCCTTCGTCGTGTTGAGGCAGTCGTTGTCGCATTTCGGCAGCGATAGTCCGCCAGCGGTTGGAAGTAAAATGAGCACGTTATCATGGTGAGGCTTCCTTAAAACCACACACTGGGTTCAACGACCCGTGAACTCATATGAACAAGCTGGACGTCCTGTCTTTGATCTAGCAGGGGTCCCTTGGATCGTTCGACCCTGTTCGCCTCGCTCGCATGATGAATGATTTATGATTAATCGTAAAGCGCCAGACGGGCCGCCAAAAGCAAAAGACCTTGGTATTGTATCCTGTTATAAATTCTATAACTTGTAGTGGAACCCATGAAGGCCGGATAGCAAATGCGTGGGGCCTGGGAAGAGTTGGTCGGAGCGCGCGACAGGGCAGTTGACTTCGGCTACGATGCGATGTTGCTTGCGCTCGCCTTTGAGAATTGTTATCAAGAAATGTGTTACATTACAGTTAAATTATATGTGTATTTTAACAACTGGGCGTCATGTTGTGTCTGCCAGTCTTGGATACGTCGGGTCGTCGGAACTTATGTTCGCGGCTCGTGCGCGCACGCATGCGATGTCTCGGCGCACTTTTGGTTTTGCTACACGTGCCTGACCGAGATCTTCTTTTATGTTATGAATAGCTGCGAATTGTTTTGATATAATGTTCGTTGCGTCTGATAAATGGCCATGTCCTGTGCACATCGTATACAAGCGCTTCACAGAAATAGGAAGGCGCGAGTATGGTGTCCCGAATGGCGTTGCTATTTGGTGTAATGGCAGGAAGGTCAGCTGGCGAGGATAACACAGTTAGCGTGGTTTCAGTATGCTCGAATTGATCGAGGCGGTTGTTACTATGGCAGGTACTGACCGCAGAAATTCTTTGGAGCACGCTCACGTATGTAGGCAGCAGAAAAGATGAATCATGAACGGTTCCTACTGATTTTCAACGTAACAAGCAGTGTGTAGTCAACTTCAGCCAATCTATGAGGACCGGGCAAAAGGCTCTCGAGCGCACACGCGCCCCTCCAGCCAGGGATCTGGCAGAATCATAAAAGGATCAATTTAGTGTTGTTTAATGCTTAATACGGTGCATGAATCAGCGACAAGGACGCCCGCCGAACTTGTGTAAGGCCCCTAAGGAAAAGATGGTGGGCACAAACCGGCAAACCCCGAGATTGAGCGACCAGGCAGGAAAGCTAGTCCTTAGGACACTGGACCTTCATGGGGCGTGGGACACATGCTGTCTATTGAAGCACCTGGGACCTCCATCGTCAATCCTCCGCAAAAAAAGGGCTGAAACACCACGGCCCGAAATTTCATACCAAACCTAAATCAGCTTCTTATTCCATTAGATACCTTGAACATCGCTCGAACCCACAATTCTCGGTGGAAGGCTGACTATGGGGCTGCACGAGTAACGTCCACATAATCTGCATTTCGGAGCTTCCTGAGCAGCAGAAATTTATACAGGCGGCAGGTATGTCTCAAATGATGTGGGCATGGCAGCTTAGGTTCGCGGTTTCGCGCTGCTAGTATACTGCATGCCTTCGTCGGCCCTTTGCATCTGCCAAGTTCACAAGGCGATGCTTGTTATAAATAACAATGTTTTATATGATTCTTGAGTTTGATATCTAAAGTGCACTCATGCTTTGCTGTATGAGCTTCTGGCCGGGCAATCGCCAGAAAGGTGTTTCCGAACCACCGCATTTTTTGCACGGGAGGATTGAAGTATTCATCTTCGTGTGGCAAATGTTCTATTATGTGCTTTGTGAATGGATTGTGAAACACAGCTGCTTTCCTGGCGTTCATGACTGTCCAGGCGTGCAGGAACCATGGCGCGCCTGCTGCTGCTGTGCTTCTGTTGCGTATCAATTTTTATCATCCATGCAAAAGGTACTTGCCAAGCAGGATGGGTCACGAGTTTCCGCATGATGCCGCTCAAACACATTGTACTGCTTTGTCGTTTCCTGTCGCCTAGCTTTTCTTTGTTGGGGAGGAAGAAGGCACAGGAGAATAGTTACTACGTTCTCCTTCCGATCGAATTTCCTGCAGTCGCTCTTGTTCTGCGTTCGCTGATTTTGAAATGGTGCACACATGCGAGCCTAAACTTCCTTTCCAAACATGCGATATGCCCCACCTCCAAGCTCTTGTCAAGCTGCATCCTCGTGTAATACCATGACGTTTTGTAGGCCTGGGTTGCGTCTTCTCTAGCCTACCCTGGACTCGCGAAAAGCTCTTTAGACCTTCTACTCCCTAATCGGGGGGACGCGATCTTTACCTGACGCGTGTTCTGTCCATCCAAACCCCACAGGTCAAAACACGAAGGCTCAAAATGCAAATCCACTGTGAGTATTACTGGCCTGTGGGATTGGGATCGTAAGTTGAATACAAAAGCTGTGTGGCGATTCAACGCATAGGTCTCTCGATCATACTGATCAACAGCTTCAGCTTAAAAGCGCAGCGGATCACGTTGAGTCCGGATCCTGCCTTGTAAGCCAGTACTTCCGCCGGCACTGGATCTTATCGCCATTTCTGCCTCGATCGGAGATAGGAAATGGTTAGGGAATGGGAACCCGGGGAGCCGTGCAGGAGTTTGGGGGCTGCTTCGGACATCCAATCCATGAGGGGACGGAGTTCCAATGTTGCACGTATTCTGGCAACCATTGTCGTAGCTACAGAAGCAGCTGCAACCGCACCCCAACAACAACCAGAGTGCTGTTTGGCTTATTACGTGTTGTTATGCCAAACTGATCTGCGACAGGAAGTGTTTGAACGTGTAAAAATGTAACACTGCTTGTGGCAAACGTGGTAGGGCCGGTGTTTACACTATTGCGCCTGTAAGACACAGCCCTCCTTAGCCTCCAATCCGCACACTCGTATCCACTTTTCCTTATTTTGCCCTTTGCTTGTCCAACCTTCCCTCCCTCTTGTCCATTCCCAGCTTTCCGGATTGCAACTGCGAGCGAGACGTCAGGGCATCGCCGTACCGTGCCTATTTCACCGGCATGGTGCCGTACACTGGAGGCAGCAAGTTTTGCTTCACGTTCGATATCGTACCTTGCCAAATCGACAACCCTTGCTGCTACATGAACTTCTACAAACTGGAGTTTCCATTTAGTGAGTGTGGCTGCGCGGGGGTTAGAGTGCTTGGATTTCGTGGTTTGGGGGGTTTTGGGTCATGCTGGGTCAGGGCAACAGGACAACTTGTAATGGCGAGTCCGATCCATCTGGATCGGTTTTAAAGGTTTTCGTGGTTTTAGGTCCCGGATTCCCCGTGGGGCCCCGCCGACGTTGGGCGTTTCTCAGGAAAAGAAAGCCCTTGTTCAGGTTTTGTTGGAGGACATTCTCGTGAAGGTCCAGGGATCTTGGAGAATGAGGATTTCCACGAGCCTGCCTGCGAGCCAGCCAGCCAGCCTGCTTGGCTGATGAATTGCGCTCGGGCATCTTCGAATCGTGTTTTTCTTCCGGTCCTTTGCCCTTACTGAAAGCGCACATCGCTAATCCTAAGGTAAAAAGTAGGTAGGTAGTAGGTAAGAAAGTTGTGCCAATGTGCTCACACATAGGCGGAGCAGTCAGCCTGCCCACAAAGTGCATGGAGGGACAAGAAAGAAGGGGGTCTCCTCTGAACTGCAATGTGATCGAACACTCGGAGGGAGGCTGCAGCGTGTACTGCAGAAAGGCGGGAGCGGTATGAAGGTCGCGCAGAAGTCAGTCGGAAGACAGGAAGGGCCTGACCAGCCGCTAGTCCGTTCCGAGTAGACCTGTCACAGCGGCGGCGGCGGTGGTGATGGCGGTTGGTATCGTCGAGGTGGGGGGGGAGCTTCATCGCCGCCAGCCACGATCCCTTCATGACCTCCTTGCGGCCTGTTATGGGGGTGGAGGTGCAGCTGGATCGTCGGAGGGGTCAAAAACTTGATTGGCGGTGTCATTCCATCGGCACGGGGGATCTCGGGGCTTGGCACTTGGGAGATACGGTAGTGGCGGCGGCGGCGCGGGAACAGCGGCGGCCGAGGCGGCGGCAGCGGGATTGGCAGCGGCCGAGGCAGCGGCAAAGCGATGCAGCGGCGACGATCCTTCACCCGACCCCAAAGGATGACGCACACGGCTGGGACTCACTGCGGCTGTGCCTTCATTCACGCTAGCACCAGCGGCACCAGCGGCTGCATTTTGCACCACCCATTTCACATGCTCATTTCACTACTGCTACTGCTACTGCTACTGCTGATGCCAGCGGGGCATGAGGGCAACAGCGTTAACTTAATAAAGAGTTCAGCGGGGATCCTCGACGGCATGACGAGGGTGCTATTCCGCTAGCAACCCCACAGGGATACCAACCAACCTGGCCGCGTGAGGCGGCGGTGTTTTAGGCAGCAACGTACCGGAGTTGAGGCAGCAATAGCAATTAACAATAGCAATAGCAGCACAAGACCGTGTTAGCGCTCGCAGCGTGGGTGATGCTCGCTGGCGACCACGTCAAGACGGTGTTTTTATCTAACGGCTGCGTCACTGTCTCCTTTCCAGCTGACGCCGCTGTCATGGGCCGCTTTCTTTCTGCCTTCACCCTTCCCAACTCTCCCGGTGATTTGTTTTGTTTTCTCCTGATATTCTTAACCCTGCCGTACTGCTTCGCCGTACACTTGTCGTGCCGTACTGTGCAGTGCTGGGCTGCCGGGACTCCTTACAGTTCATCGAGTACCAGGGATCCAATAAGTCGATCACATGGGGTCCGTCGTACGCGTTAGCGAACCCGCCGCGGATCGATCTGAAGATCACGAATATGCGGTTATCGCAGACCAACACTCGTGGCCAGAGCATTTGCATTGGAATTGCAGATAAATGCGCGGAGTTGCATTCTTGGTGTTGGCCGGCGTCTGGGAATTGCAAGTTGGCAATTTTCAACGCCGACCCGTTCGACTGCTGTCCTGTCCAGCCTTTCACTAGGATCGAGCCGGCATACCGGGCTTCGCCGCCGCCACCGCTGGTCAAGCATGCCCCGCCGCCACCGCCGCCTCCGCCTCCGCCGCCACCCCCCCCGCCACCCCCGCCGCCTAAGAAGCGTGCACCGCGGCCGCCGCCAACCTGCAGCGTTTGCGTTCGTACATATTTGTCGTACGTGCCCCCTGGCGGCAAGTTTAACTTTTCGCAGACCGCTTGCCAAGACCTACATTTCTTCTTGGTGGACGAGCTGAACGCGCAGGTACGACGGAAAACAGCATGGCATGCTGGTGTACGGCAAGAAAGTGGAGTGGTGGATGAAACGTACGAGCAAATTGATATCATTTTGTCGGCCCTGCCGTGTCCCCGTTAGGTGCAGTGCGGCGGTAGCGGGTTACGCGAGTCCTCGAAAGTCCATTGTGTGTTGGCGGGAAAGGCGGTGGAGGTGTGAAGGCGTTCAACAGGAACGGGTTTTAGGCGGTTTTAGGAAGTTTTGGGCGGCATTCGCATTCGCCAGCAGGAAAATTCCATTTTTTAAGCCACGCACCAAAACACGACCTCTGAGTGAACACTGCCATGTGCTATCTCACCACGTGCAACACGCGCATATTGAACCTTGATTGCAGTTTCGTTGCAGCTGGTAAATCCGTGCATAAGGAAATCCCGAACTTCTTGGCCCTTGTTCTGCAGGCGGATGCCCTTGACGCTAGAATGCTGGTGCCTTTCACCCCAGAGCCTTGCACGGCAACCGAAATTCGAGTCTGTGGAAGCTTCTTCTCAGCGGAAGACGGTCAACTAATGCAGGATTGGATGGATTCTGGCGCGTTGGCTGAGTTTAACAGCTTTTTACTGCCTCCAAACGACCCTTGCCCATCGTCTCTGCAAGGTTATTACCTCACCACGGAGGTGACCGAGAGCTCCTGCCTAACCGGGTCCTCATCCGTGTCATGCATCGTGCTTCCGCCGCCGCCGCCACCGCCGCCGCCGCC